TAATGTTGCTGCATATGGGTCTCCGCCGCAGGCGCCTAGTTCATGCACTCATGCTCACTACTGCTCATCGGCGGCGAACGCTGGAATTAGTACGCCAATATCGCAACCGGACGTCCACTGAATGGCGACAGGTGACCTTTGCGACTAAATATTTTCTGTTCCATTGGAGGGATGGTCGTTGGTTATACGACGTGAAACGTCTGAACGCAAACGCCCTGCAACAATTGCCGGATGAGTCCAGGACGGAGGAGGGAGCGTGATAGTGTGGGAAGGTTTTTTTCGTGTCATTCCCTGGGTGAACGCGTCAATCTGAAAGTCACAATAGTTCAACAGAGGTATGCAGTCATCCTTGGGGATCATGTCCACCCTTGTATTCAGATCGTTTTTCCTCAGCAAGTCGGCTTCAACTAGCAGGACGTGACACACAGCTCGCAGTGTACGTGCGTGATTCAAAGAGCACTAGGATGAGTCTACAGTACTCCCCTGGCCACCAAACTCACCTGTTTTAAACCCAAACGACAATATCTGGAGCCGTCCCGATGGGCCTGTTCGCGCCATCGAGGAACCTAGCGCCGCTGGCCACGGCACTGGAATCGGAATGGCTCCACTTGCTTTCGGTGCCATCCAGAACCATAGCAAATACTCGTAGTAACGTAGGTCCAGGACTAAATCAGCAAACGGATTACACTAATTTCATCTACAGTCAACTCCGGTTATAGTGAACGTGTGGAGACACATTTTTGGTTCAATATTTCCGATGTCAAAATTAAATATAATTTCATAGTTATTGGTTTTATTAATATATACAACAAAATACATTCACAGCACGAACTGAAAATTTCAGTTTTCCAATTTCTCCTCAAACGTTTCTTCTTCTCAGGAGCGAACATTCTCCGGACACATAAGCTGTTTGGGTTTGGACGAGCTGCTCGTCGAATGCTGAATGTGTGGAGCCGCCTTTAGGTTAGGAAATGGTTGCCAATTATGAATTACTAATTTTTTCTTCATACGAAAGGGAAGAATATAATTTATTTGGAGACTTTTGTGTACCACTTTTTCACTATCCATAACAAAATGCCACTCATTTCACGAGTCTCTAAAGGCTGCAACGCGCAGCGGAGAACATAACATTCTCGGACGTTCGCTATCTAGCAGGCCTTTGAATCTAGGTCCACGCTTCGTCCATGATTGGGGGACCGCCAGCCAGACACCATATACGCGCTGAAGGCGTTGGACACATTCGGCTCCGGTCTGAGCTGTTTTTTTTCTTTCTTCATATTTTCCCCTCTCCAGTTTCCCTGAGGCGGGGATGTATATGACTTTCGGAATACATTATTTTCGACTGCAGCCGATTTGGCTTGTGCAATTAGGGAGGGCTTTTTTACTTAGACTAACTAAAACTATCTTATAACTATATACATTCCCGCTTTGGGGTTTGTTAGTTTTTAGACTTTTTTAATTATTTAATTTGGAGTTCTTTGAATTGTGCTCGCACACTACCTGAGTTGCATAGACTCACTGGTGCCGATATATCACGCGGATCTCACGGAAGATCGAATAAACGAAAAATTCAATGAACTCAAAGGGGAAAAATGACTATTTTTAAATTTCCTTGGGCGTTGATCCACGACTTGCACACCGAAAGAAAACGCCACTGTTACTTAACCGTTACGAAGTGCGAGAATCAGCAATGAGGCGTTCGGTCATCCATAGATGCGCCGATGACCAAATAAAATTACAAAAATACTGTACTTTCAATCTAATTTCAGAGAAGAATTGAATACTAGAAAAAATATACAGCTATTTGAATGGTAATAGTAAAATAACAACTGAGAAATGGCCGTGAAAAAACGAGAAACGTAAAGGATGACAGTATTAGCACATCGAATACAAAGCTTGTCGCCTAATCAGGACAAAGTAATTCAGTAAAATTCATTACATTTAAACAAAATTATTAGAGACAATCTTTTTTTCTCACTTTATCTATTTTTACAAGAAGAACGAACTGTCAGTAACCAAACCTGGGTATTCACTCTCCCTTTTCATTGGGACGCGCACGACTCATTCGCCGCTTCGTGCCGTCATAGAGCAAGGAAACATCTAATCATCGTTTCTCCATGATGCGTATTCCTTTCCATAGCGATGAGCACGCCAGTCATAGAGAAACGTCTTCTTTCGTCAATACTCCAGTCATCGGCGTTCTTCGAATCTCGAATGTTCTCGGTTATACGTGGTGAAACGCGCCATAACGATGTAGTATGGACTTGTGAGAGAAGTGGTGTTTTGTGTATAAGTGCGTCCTGATTGAGTGCTTTTGTTGTTTTATTTGTTTGTCATGCACTGTGAGGGAAAATTAGGATATCGTAGTTTAGGTGAAACGAAAAACTATTCTGTTCACTTACGTTTGAAGAGAAACTTTTGGTTGATTGACAATTTTTGCTTTTGGTTGTAAAACGGAGAATTTTTCTGAGAATTTATTTGCTAGCTTGGATTAAAATACTTGTGAATCCCTGGGATTAAAAAAAGGAATAAGTTGTTTTTAATAGAATTGCAACATTTTAAGACAAATCTCCATTAAAACTGGTGCAATTTCTGATAGAAGCACACATTATTTTAGGAGACCATTTTTATGAATTTAAATAATTTCAATTTATGTGCATATCTGTGAGTGATCGTTGCACTGATGAGTAGCATTGTCTAGTTTCTTTTTACATTGGCCCTTTTTTGCTTCGTGTGTATTTGAAAGTTCAACAATATCTAGTTTATTTAAGTCGGGTAGAGCCTACGCGAAGGACTGATGATTCAGAGAGTGTTACAAGCACCAATTAGCTGATACGTAACAAGATAATGATAGTTACTCTTTGAGGCGAGATCTTTTTCTCTTATCCCATCATAAGTCGACACATGTAATCTAATTTGTTGTATGTTGAAGTTCCGTAACTTAATACTATTGGCTTCTTTCCTCTTTTTCAGAAACTTCAACGAGCCGCTACCGTTACTCACTATCTCTGTGGCAGAGAGTCGTATTACTTCTTGTAACCGATGCATCCAGTATGCAAGCGTGTTTTGTTTCTCTAGATCGCCTACGATTGTCTTTTGTCCTTTTGGCAGTAGTCTACCATTCTAAAAAGGAATTGTGTTTTAACTGTTAGTACGGATACCAAGAGCTTAGTTGTCGTAGGTACGCATGATGTGGACCGATAGCTGCATGGTGTAGAGAGATTGCTATAAGAAGGGACCACTTTGACTGCAACTGCTAGGCCACTGCTGGCAACATAACTGCAGGTTATGTCCATGCATGTATTTTGTCTGTGAGCTCGTTTACAGATAACTCATCTATCCCTTGCAATGTCATTACTCTGCTGGACGTCCATTTGTTTCCCGACGTGTTGAAGTGATCCCTTAGAGTAACTCCTTTATATAGTATCTTTCTTTCAGAGTGATGGCGAGTGTCACATTTTCGATTTCATCTACCGTTGTGATGTGCTTCCTTGAAGTAGGTCATTCATTTGCTGAGCGAGTCAGTGGTGAATGCTTGAGTCAGTACGTAACAGTGTAACTGGTCTGGGTCCAAAGCTCGAACTCTCACGTGTTTATGGACAGCCCTGCAGGATTCATGGTGTCAATTACCTCCAGCACTACCTTCAGACATTAGTCGAATCCATGCCACGTCGTGTTGCGGCGCTTCTGCATGCTCGCGGGGGCCAAACACGATATTTGGCACGTATACCAGATTTTTGGTTCTTCAGTGTATTTTATATTATAGAAACAATTATTTCATATCTTCGAATGAATTTATCATTTACTAAAAAAATATAACATTTATTATCATATTTTAGTACGGTTGACTAACATCTCATAAATGTTTTTATCGTTTTCAGTTATTGCGGTACTGAATTGATATTGTTCTATAGAGATTTAACGATTCCGATTGAAAAAAAGTTTCAAATCCACGCCCCCCCAAAACAATTAAGAACGTTCATGCAGTACATTTCTGTACTATGAAATGGCATAGACTATCTCGTAGTAGTTATTTCCTATTCTCTTGTAAGTGGGCTAGATTTTCAGCATTTTCTCAATTTTTCGGTCCCCTAATAGTAGAATCGAAATATGTCTTTAAGAATATTACAAAAAAATCTGGTTCTTTAAACAAATTTTCCTTGAAATATTAGGAACATATCTTAGAAAATGTTTCAACGTTCCTGAACACACGCAATTTTGATCTTATTTTCATAGAAGTTTTTGCGATTTCGAGAAAAATTATAAGAAATAATTTGAAGTATTTGTACTCAAAAGTACAATAATGTACAGTGTAAGAAATTTCACATATCGCAGACGGACGGACGTTTTGACACAGTTTTTCGGTATTAAGGGAGCCCAAAAGTGTATTTACCATGAAGTTTCGAAATAGATTTTCCGAAGGTTTAACTAACTTTCTTTGTGCTATGTACTAATGTGTTACTATACCCTCTGTATACAAAGAAAATGCAATAATGGAACTCGCTTGTATATTGTTTCTTGTTTCAAATGCGAAATGAAACAAAGAAGATCCGAAAACGAAATGAGTGAGAGGCTAATGTTTTCACTGTACCACTGATACACCTACTAGGGATATATGAAGTGATTGTGATTGACTGTACTTTTGTCTACAATATAAGCTGACGCATCAACACTAGTTTGTGGTACGACAAAGAAGGTTCTATTTACTTAAGGTGCACTTCTACCGAACTCAACTGATTTCGGGCATTGATAATTAGCATCTGATAACTCTAAAGCAGACAAATGTCAAAGCCAAAAAAGGTCTGTGTGATCGGATCTGGCAATTGGCAAGTATAAATTGATAAATAATGGGCGTAGATTAGTTTGGATGACAAAAAATTTAACATAATTAGTAATTGTTTTAATACAGCCATAATAGTAATAATTTTGCTTACAAGTTTTGAGTAGCAAAGGTCAATAGAAGATAATCGTTAATAGGAGAGAAACTCTTTGATTTACAGGGGAACAACTATTGCAAGGATAGTTGCTGATAATGCACAACGTCGTGATAATTTACATAACATTGTGACAATGTACGTATATGAAGAAATGATTAATGGGAAGAAATTGTCAGATATAATAAATGAAGAACATGAAAACGTTAAATATTTGCCAGGATACATTATTCCAAGTAATGTTGTAAGTATTAATGATATTCCAATTTCTTCCACCTCGTTTTATGGTTATAACACAGCTAACTTTCTGAGAAAGGGAAACCTGGGCTGTTTGGCACAAAGAGTTGATTGGCATTAAGGGGATCTGCATCGTCCATTAGCATCCATAAGGCCAAGACTCTAAAGTTTGTGACTATGACCCAACGGACTTTTCCCAGAAAGCTCAGTGCATCTGTGGTGGTGCAGTGATCCCAAATGTGTTTTAGAGCTTGCCGAGTAATATTTTCGTACTTCACTGATTGCATGCAATATTAGGAAACGATTTTGCCTCCTTTTCATTTGAAACCTTCAACAAAGGTCTTGATTTTCGTTAAAAGTATTTTTTTCGAGTTCCCCTGTCGCATCAACGGCCATCTTTAAACAAAATGGGGGGCTCATTAGCCCTTTTCAATTGCGATTGGTTGTCACTGTGTGAATCAGCGACATCTCTCTGCCAACCATCGTTCAAAATAAAATTCTTTTTGAAGTTTTCTCAAAGTTCTTGGGCTGCAATACTAAAGTCGTTATGTGAAATTCAATGGGCAAATAGCTCTCATGAGCTCTTCGTGAATAGATCTACCTGGGCTAAAATTGCAAATTTTTATTAATTTATTTCCAAGTCCTGATTTTATTCTAGTTGTGGCCCATCAAAAATTTCAATAGTTTGGCATTAGCCAGTTATTTGACCCAATAATGAACATTCGAATCTCTACCTCTGAATATGTCTGACAATGTGAGGAAAAAAAATGTCCAAGAAGGTACCCTTCATGTTACCTTATTTCAATGCCAGCTTATTATGATTTCAGCTTATTATACCAATATAAAATAAGAGAAAATAAGTAAATTAGCTTCGTTCCTTTTATCACCAAGAGGGTATAATATCGATGTTTCGCAAGTTTAAAGCCTTCAATTCCCAATTTACAAAGTTTGTGCTTTAAGAGGCCACTACTGGTACTGGTGTCGTTACCTTCCTAGTTACATTATTATGAAAGAAGATAACATTTCATATCATTTCTAACATATTTTCAAAAGAAGCGACCTTTTCGTGAAATTGCTAGTTAGGTGCTATGCTACGGGCCCCGTTTCGACACACCCTGTGAGCTCTCTTGCCGCTCGTGAGATGACACAAGCGGGCTGCACAAACAAAATGTGATCAAAAGTATCCGGGCATGAGGCTGAAAATGACTTACAAGTCCTGGTTGCGGAAAAGCCTGATAGGCAGCTTTCACCATCCGGAGGGGGAAGAGATCCGTCAGTTCGCGAGGAAAACATGCACTACACTTACGAGACTAATGACCTTAGCAGTCGATGCGCCCGAAATCACTGATCAATCAATGAATTACTCGCATACTCATATTTCATTAATTAATTCAACTAAATACCTTTACTTTCGTTCACTTTTAATAAGAAAGTATGGCCTCGCTTCACATCTTCGACAAGACTCTCCACATACCTCGCGTCTCTCCCCCTGCCTTCACTTCGAAGAAATGGCACTCACAAGAGCACCCACGACCATCCGCCCGCCCCCTTCCGTGCCCTGACCGCGCAGAAGCGGTCGTTGGCATCTGACTCGACCGAGCGGCCCGTCCCTTCCCAGGAACGCGTCCGCTCCGAACGTAGAGAAGAGGTCGCAACACCACATTTTTTTTTGCTTCCCTGATTGTGCAAATGATAATGGAAATAAATCGAATACACTGTACTAAAACGCAGGCGCAGGTTATTTAAAAAGTCTTGTGCCCGGTTGCAGTGAGTATGGGAACTAGGGTAGAGCAATGACGTAACCCAATACAATTATCCACACATTCGAAATCCTATACGCTGAGTTAAAATTACAGCTACTGGGGGTCTTATTTTGTAAAAATTCAATCGTGCTTGATATTACTCGCGCAACTTCTTTTGAACGATGGATTGAAGAAATGCGGGTAGAGTGGGGGTATTAGTTACGTAAACAGCCACTAGATTTTATGAAGCAATGCCAATCTCTGGAGAATCAGTCACGCCTTCGTAACGTTCTCAATAATTTGCGTTCTAACTTTATCAGGAGTTCGAGGTGATAGATCCATACCTGCTTCGGTCATTTCTTTAGATTTTTGGAGAAAATAACCGATAGAAGTGCTCTTCAAAAGAAAATTGTTTTTACTTCGCGCCAGTGAAGATGTGTTTAGAATGTTGTCATCAGTGCTCGCTGCGAGCTTTTGCCTTCATCTATTTATTGTGCCAGAGAGGGGGAAGCAAGGTCATCTTTCAAGAAAAGTTGCGCGAGTAATAACTATTCGATGTTAACCCGTTTGTTTTACAAGCTCGCTCTGGTTACTATGATAACATAGCTTGCTGTGATACGCGCGAATCTAAAAGTTGTTCCGTTGGTGTCACGCGCGGCACCATCTCCGCACGTGACACATGTGTGATCAAATATTGGATACAAAACGGTACAAAGTAAACTACATGTTTTTGTTTCATGATGGTTTTCTTAGCGACCCTTTACTTGCCGAAATAAAAATTACACATCAAATGGAAGAAGGAGATTATGAACATTAAAAATTAGTTTTCACATTTTAGATAGCTCGTTTTTGTTTCAGGTTGCTGTTCCCGATATCGTTGTTGCTGCTAAAGATGCGGATGCGCTTATATTTGTTGTTCCTCACCAGTTTGTTCGGACAATTTGTGCCAACCTGTTGGGGAAAATTAAACCTACTGCATGCGCTCTTTCTTTGGTGAAAGTGAGATAGATAAGATAATTTTTACAAGCTTTATAATAGCAGTTGCTTGTTTCATTTTTTTCACAATGTCATAATGCATGGAAGACAAGAAATGATAATGAAACCAGTGGGGCTACAACAGCACTACTTTCTCCCGATGTTGTTAATAGTTATGTAATATTATGTCTGTCTTACACTTCAACTAGAGTTGAAAAATTCTTAAAGAAACGAAGTACGAAAACGTTTTTAATTGAAACGTTTAAACGAAAACAGCTTTCTGCCATTGAATTCAATGTATTCATGTTCTACATAAATGCACCAATGATACGCATTTTAGTCGTAAATAAAATTATTATTTTATATTAACGCGAAACAACAGAGACCATCATTATCACCGTGTTAGTAGTGCGGCGTTGCAACAATGGCTTGCAATAAACAACAATTACCGCTAATTTGTATGTTATACTCATTTTGCATATCAGCATCCTTGATACCGCTAGTAACAAAATGAAAATGGATAGAAAAATGTAATAATTTAATATTGTGTTATTCTCTTCCAAACTACTCGTTTTTACACGAATTTCTCGTTATTCTTACGTCTTATTATACAACCTGAAATGATCAATACGTTTTCACATTTAGAACATTTTTAAAATAGATTTAATGATTAAGTAATATTTAACGTAAACATTCTTTTCAAGATTCGAATGACAGCCTCCAACAGAGTTACCAACTTTTTGGTAGATAAAATCGGGACTCTGATCCAACCACCGGAAAGAGAAGTTCGGGGGAATTTGTTTTGAAAAATTAAGAGTAAAATGATGCAATGTTCTTTGCCTTAAGCTTGAAATTTTCCAGAGTTTAAATCTGGAAAGGTAATGTTAAATTTTAATTACGTATTGGTAATGATGAGTAAAATTTACTCACATGTAAGGTTTTTATAAACTTAAGTAGTTATTATGCTATGAAATAGATGGTTGAGTTTAAAAGAAGCATAATTAATTAAACTAAACGTTATTTTCACATTTTACATTATTATAAAAAACATAAGAAAATGATTCTTTTAGAGTGAAATTGTCACTAGAACTAGTGGTACCTTAGAATGGCACAGCCTTTCTCGGTTACTAATTAGTTTTCTTGTTTCTTTGGTATGGGCTAGCTATTCTGACGCCCCATCCTCTTGCCAGCTGCCATCTATCGATGCCCAAAGTACACTTTTTTAATTCTCAATTTTTCTATTTTCTAATTAAGATTACTACGGAGATTAATTACATACTGATACAGTTTTAAACGCGATAGGAATTCGAATTTACTCTTTCAAATTCTTTTCTAATTTACGCAAAAAAATACTCACAATTTTGAAAAATCGCAGATGACCTTATTTGAAGATCTGTTTTTGATGAAAACATTTCATTAAGAAAAAAATTGCATCTTCATAATTGTAGTTGTAGGTAAGCGCCGAAACAATGTTTTCAATTTTCGAAAATCGGGGTTTCAACCATCATGAAACCTATACTATTCTCTTAAACGACCTTCAGTTTATCCACCAACAAAATTTCATCAAAAACGATGGAGCTGTTTTTTTGAGAAAAAATGTTTAAACAAGAATAAAAAATACCTATATTTCACGCAAAAAATACTCAAAATTTAGAAAAAAATTCACATGACTTAATTTTAAAATCTATCTTTATGGAACAGATGTTATTAAATAAAAATCTCTATCTTTAATATTTTAGTTGTAGGAAGACGCCGAATAATATTTTGAGTTTTTTCAATTTTCGATTAATCAGAGTTTTTAACCAACATGACACCTGCGCCAATATATTAAACGTTCTTTAGAACATCAAACAACAAAATTTACTCAAAATCGATGGCGCTATTGTTTTGACAATTTTGAAAATGTTCGAGGGTCTTTATGTAAATTACTAATTAATTAAAATATTGGTTTGAAATTCAAGTGGCTGCTACATCAGTCAGATCAATTGAGGAATATCAACTTTGGAGAAAATCGGCTGAACGGTTTAGCCGCTAGCGTTGTTCAAGACGGACAGACAGACGTTTTGTCTTCAATCTATTTTTCGGTATCAAGGACCCATAAAACATGAATTCTGGCTACTCCACGTGTTAGAGTATTTTTTCTAAATTAACAACTGGATTTATCCACTTTCTCGTTACCAAGGCCCAGTAATAAGAGTTTTTCTGTCAAAAATTGGCAGTTTTTTCGCGCAGGTAACTTTATCTTATTAAGATGTTTCTTCTTAAGCGTTAGAAAGTCAAAGTAATAATTCAATAGCATAATCACAAAAAGTAGACAAATGCTAAGGGAACATTTTAAAAATCTAAAGCGCTATCTCTCAGTAAGGCTATCGCAATTATTCTGCCTTTAGGGATTTGAAGAAAAAGACGACGGAGGGATAGAGCTAATTTCCAGCGTCATCCATAAACTTCTACGTATCAATGTGAGCGTGATGATGGGGGCACATCTGGCTTCTGAAGTTGCTGAGGGAATGTTCGCTGAGGCAACTCTAGGTCAGTAAATTTTAACTGTGTAGTGAAAGCGTTCACTGGATAAACTAGTGGAGCTAAAACAGCACGTACTTTCTCGCCCCCTGGTAACAGTTATGTAATATTACACCGCAATTTCTGTTTATATCAACACATCTCAGTCAATGAGCGCTGACAACAAATCGCGCATGCAGCGGGTGCTAATATGCCGTTATTTTTTTTTGCAAAATAACGCAATTCAATGAATATGAGACCAGAACCATGCTATTAAGCGTCCTTTATGCTATCTTAGTTCCAAATTTAATAAAAAAAGTAGTGCGGTTTTTAAGAAAAAGTGGTTTAAAGAATATAAAAATTGCTTCTGTTTGACTCAAAATTTTGCAAACAATACTCATGTTTTTGAAAAATTGAACGTGTAGATGAGAAAATGTAGTTTGGGCGGCGATAGATGACAATTGGGAAGAATTGCGGCACAACGGAAAATATAATCCTAAATGGATTTTATTACATGACATAAATACCAATTTCACGCATTCTTCCGTTTAAAAAAGAAAAGATTTGTATACGTCATTATAGTTGTGAGAACAATTACTTAAAATAATTTCGTGTGAATTTTCTCGAAAACGGAAAATATATTTTTGGGAAAATGAGCTTCAAAATGCTCGTTTTCAATGTTCAAACAATATTGTCTCAAAAACGGCTCAAAATGTTTCAACGTAAATGTCCATATAAGATGAGGTTTCACTCTTCAATGCTATTCTTAATGTCACGTTTAGTTCTACCGAGAAATTGAAAAAAAAATATTGTTTTAACAGTGAGAGATGGCAGCTGGGAAGAGAAAACAACATGCTTGTCCAAACAAATGAAATTATTAATCTATATAGTACGAGAAAGTCTGTGCCATTGTGTAGCACCACTCGTTCTAATGTGTAACAAAGGAAATATATCCTTTTGTATAATAAATTAAATTGATTTTCAGGTTGCGCAAATAAGCAGATTGGCCCACTGTGGTGCGATATAATAGGCAGCGATACTTTTCGGGTGACTACAACAGACGACATGACTTCAGTTGAGATATATAGTGGTCTCAAGGTACAGCACTGCTTTTTATATATTCGAGAGCGTAGTTCATAAACTTCATATCTTAAAAAAATAGCTGTTTACATTACTCTCCTGATGTAAATGAAATCTGCGCGCATTTTGTATCTTAGTAATGACTTTTATTACAATGATTATCAGTCACATTTATTACAATCATCAGTATTTTCGGTTGAAGGATCTTCTGTTTTGATTGAATAATCTGAACTCTTCCATTGTAAATAAAATCTTTCCCCATTTTTTGACTGCAGTAAGCTTGGTAATGATCTTATTCAACTCCTTTATCACTCATGTTTATTATAATCATCAAGACTTTTAGGTTGAAAGATTATCTATTTGTCAGAAGGATCTGAATGATTTTAAGAAGTGATTTAGGTCTTTAAAGGTATTTGACAGTTTTTGTCTTGTAAGTCTTTCGTAGTTGCTCGCCTTCTGCTTACTTACGTTGCAAAGAGTAAGTGTGGTAATGGTGCAGTAAATAGGGGCGAATTTTCTACAGAAAACTAGTATTGTGGATCTTTGAAACCGAAAAGGTGGATACTTTTGCACCTATACTTAGTAAATTATTTTCTGTAATATTCTTTTCTTTATGAATTAAGAAATAATATTGAGTGTAGATATGGAACAAAATTATTTAGATTAATATTATTAATGGAAAGCAAGTCCATAGAATCCATTTTAATTCTTGGAGAACTCTGGGGAACCCAGGGATTCAAAAGTGCCTAAGACAAATTTAGTTACATATTTAAATGATTTGATTTGATCGATTAGTGATTCCAAGCGCGTTAATTACTAAGAGCATTAGTCCCGTAAGTACAGTGCGTGTTTTTAACTCGGGAGGTGGCAGTGATAACGCCTCTGAATGACGAGATCCGGCACCGACCTACGTCGCTTACGGGGATTTTCCGCCATCAGGTACCTCCCACGAGCGGGGCAGCGCCCCAGCCGGGACAAGCTGTAAGCTCCCGACCGGTCTCCAGGCATATACGGAAGTGTAGTGCATGTGGGTGTAAGTGAAAGTAAGGGGGCTAGGAATAGGTCTAGGAAGAGAAAGGAAAGATGGCGAGCGGTCCGTGGCCCATTTGTTTGGGTATTGCACCGGCATTCGCCTGATATTGTTCGGAGAAGCCCCGGAAAACTACCGATCAGAGTAACCGACCATAGCGTCTGAATGCGCCCTAGCTATGTACTAGTTAGTGTATAATTCTTGCGACCGTTGGGAGTGGAATCTTAGGACCTCCCAGTAAGAGGTACTTCAGAGACATCACTTGGTTCCCCTGAGCCACCTTTTCCGGTCGCGTGTCTGTAAATAGAAAGTGTATTATGCCATGTAATGTGGCAAATAGAAAATTATATAGTAACAATCCACGTTTGGCGGTGCTTGATACTTGAAATTGTGGTTCTACAACAGTACATACTTTCTCGCCTTATTTCAAACAATTAATAATAAAATATTATAATACAATAGTATACTACATGATTACAATGTTGTTACAATATTAAAATATGAAAATTACATTATAATGCTACTTGAAACAGCAAAAGTGTCTCCAACATGCAAAATTTTGCCCAGGGGGGTATTTAAAATCAGGCATTGAGTTTGAGCAATCTCTGTGCATAGTCACTATACAAATTCCTTAGGTCACGTAACTATCTTACCGACTTTTTAAAAAGTAAGTCGAACAGGTACAAAGACTAGTTTTAAAAAAATACATGACCTTATTTGAAGATAAAATTCTGAAGAGCAGTTTTCATTAAAAAATATTATCTTCAATATTCTTGTTGTAGGACGACTCCGGTTTTTTGAAACTTTTTGCAATTTTCAAAAGCTTAGAAAACTCAACAAAAATCGGACCTCGCCATTTTATGTGTACTTTATTCTAGTGGATAAAGTTGTTGCTGTTTTTGAGAATATTTTGAAAATGTTAAGGCTTCATGTAAAGAAGACGCAAATATCACAATTTACGTTTCAAACTCGTAGGACGTAAGAGTTTGGCCTGATCAATGGGGGAATATCAATTTTAGAGAAAAGTCAAAGGTTTAGGCCCTAGTATTGTCCAGAAATGAAAATATTTTTGCCGTCCAAAAATTGTTGGTCTCAAGGATTTACAAAACATGAATTCTGACGACGCAGCGTATTAGAGGAAGTAATTTACAACACACACGAACAATATGTATCCACTTTTTTGGTATCAGGAATTCATAAAGCGAGATTTTCTTTCGAAAATTGTTGATTTCTGTCGTAGCATTACAATACATTCTCTTTACTACGTAAGTAGTAGTGTGGCAATGAAATAAAAAAGGCAGTTTTCCAGACATGTCCAATACTCTATATTTCTGCTTATTCTTAGCAAATATTACGTTTAGACACCATGCAATGAGATATTTCTTGGCAATAATATGTTTGAAGTTTCTGAAGAAATTTTTGTTTATAATCCTAATTTAAGAATTTCTTGTACCGCATATTGTCATAAAAAGTAAAGAAATGATTAACCTAAAATTGATATTAGTGTGTGTTTGGATTTATTCAGAACGTGGTTGCTCTTGGAGCGGGCTTAATTGACGGCTTAAAAGTTGGTCTCAACACGAAAGCGACGATGATAAGGATGGGGATGTTGGAAATTATAAAATTCGTCGACCTATTTTACCCTGGTGGCCGATTGTCGACTTTCTTCGAGAGCTGTGGAATTGCAGATTACATCTCGACTTGCATCACCGGCAGAAATCGCCGCGTGGCAGAAGCCTTTGCGCGAAGTGGAAGGGTGAGTTCCTGTTGTGAGTGAAATTAATGTAGGAAGCAGGTTCTCAGTTATAGGTGTAAATGTGAGAGAACTAATTACCGCCTTAACATCCTACGGCCAACGGTAGATTAGGAAGAGCACATGTTTGCATATTTAATAGCAGTTGTTTGCATCTGTAATATCGCACTATTAGGACTGCCTATGCACACCTGCAATCCTTCCAATTCATCTGCCTATAAAAAAGAAAGCCGGCACAAAACAAATAAAAAACGTTTTCCCCGATCTTGCCCTCCCCGCAACCCGGGTAAGGACATACCACTACTATATAGCATTACTAGTGATTCAGCACCAAGATTCACACAGTTCCTAGTCATTCTGCCTGTGTATCGCAAAGGCAGGTACTTCATTGTAAACAAGATGAGAGCCTTTTCATAACCTGAAAGTGACGGTAAGCGAACCGTGACGTTGGTGTCGGAAGAGTTCTACGTCGCTGGAGCAACGAAGAACAACTCTTTTCTAATTAGCAAGCTACCCACAAAAATGTGTAAGGGTGAGTTGCCTCCTTAACTCAACCAGATCTGGTGTAGCCGTACTGCATTGTCACTGAGCTCCTAAACATTAATGAGGCAGTGAAGCAAAACCGCGAAGTTTTCCAAAACGACCATCCCTATTTCATCTATTAGAGGATGGGAATAAATACAATTCCTCAATCTATCTAATCAATTAATTTTTTTCTCTTCCTGAGGCTTCTTCCAACTTCAGGAGATGCCATTTTCGGTTATCTGCGCCGAGTACTTATTATGTCTCTCGTGGAGACACATATTAACGTTTACGCTAGGCACACATGCGGTCTTCTCGGTCTGCGGTCAGAAGACTCACAAGGCCTTATGCAACAATATACATTCATGAAAGGCAAAGAACAAACAACCGTGCCCACGACAGAACCCTCGACACTTCGGGCTGAGGCGCACACGCTCTAGCCATCTCTACCATTCAGGTTCGCCTCAACCTCTCTAATACATAATTTCGATTAATATATAGTACATGCGCTCAATAGATGAGCTGCTTTCGCTGCTCCATGTCACTAGTTACTTACACACCGAAGAGCCAAAAAACTGATATAGCCATGCGTATTGAAAAGAAGAGATCTAGAACCAAGCGCTCCGGTTGGCTACGACTGTATAAGAAAACCAAAGTCTGGCACATTTGTTAGATCGGTTACTGATGCTACAATGGTAGGTTATCACGATTTAAGTGCGTTTGAACGTGGTGTTATGGTCGTCGCAAGAGAGATGGGACGTAGCACATCCGAGGTCGCAATGAAATTTGGATTTTCCCGTGCGACTATTTCACTAGTGCACCGTGAAGATTGGGAATCAGGCAAAACATAAAACCTACGGCCGCAGAAAAATCGTGCAAGAACGAGACCGACTGAGGAGAATCATTACACGTGACAGAAGTGCAACCCTTCCGCAAATTGCTTCAGATTTCAATGCTAGGCCATCAACAAGTGTCAGCGTGCGAACCGTTCAACAAGACATTCTGGATCTGACGGCCCACTCGTATACCCTTGACGACCGGGTGACACAAAGCTTTACGCCTCGCCTGGGCCCATCAATATCGTCATTGGACTGTGATGACTGGAAACACGTTTCCTGATCTGACGAGTCTGGTTTCACAATGTCTCTAGCGGATGGACGTGTACGAGTATGGCGACAACACCATGAATCCGTAGACCCTGTATATCAACAGACGATTGTTCAAGCTGGTGAAGGCTCTGTGGTGGTATGGGGCGTGTGCAGTTGGAGTAGGGAGCCCTGATGCGTCTATACACGTCTCTGATAGGTGACACGTACATAAGCATCCTGTCTGATCACCTGCACCCATTCATGTTCATTGTGCATCCCGACGGACTTGGGCACTCCCAGCAGCCTATGCGACAGCCCACACGTCCAGAATTGGTTCAAAGTGGCTTCAGGATCAATATTCTCAATTTAAACACTTCTACTGGTCACCAAAATCACCACACATTAACATTATTGAGCATATCTGGGATGCTTTGCAGCGTGATGCACAGAAGAGATCTCCACCCCCTCGTACTCTTACGAGTTTGTGGTCAGTCTTGCAGGATTCATGGTGTCAATTACCTCCACTACTACTTATAACATTAGTCGAGTCCATGTCACGTCGTGTTGCGGCTCATCTACGTATTCGCGGGGGCCCTACACTGTTAGGCAGGTGAACCAGTTTTTTGGCTCTTCAGTGTATTATTGGTCATGAATATTAGCAACTTCTTTAAGATAATTTCTTGGAATATTTTCGCCATTTAATTTTTGCGAATTAGAGGAGAATAAACTAAATAAACCATTAGTATTATATATGGCTAATTGTTTTTACTAATAGTTTATTAACTTTTACGATATAAAAGTTTTAGAAAATTAAGATGAATTTACAATTAAAAAGCGGGGAAATAATACGAGCACATTTTAAGGCAGTACGCTGCAGGATTTTAAGGCAGTAATTGAACAATATTATATCATCTTCTAATTACGCCTATAAAAACCTTGAAGATCTATAAACAAGTGTTTTCGACAGGATTTACAATCATTGCAAGAGGAATTACTTAAAGGAGAGCCGTTGCAAGGAGCGATTACTGCCAGCGTGGTCCATACTATGCTGGCATATAGGGAACTGGAACATAGGTATGTTCACTTGACTGCTGTTTCTTTATTTCATATTGTAATCGATAAAGTACTAAAAAATGTGAGCATTTAAAATCATTGAATAACATTTAATCACTCAATTAACCTAATAATAGACACATCCATGAATTATTGTGACATTGTGAATAGAATATTCTGTATTTATGAAAGCCATTTTTGCTGAAAAGTTGCTTTAAAATTTAATATAATTAAATATGAGAATATTCATGTACCTCAATAAATTGAAAGGGAATGGTGCGTGATACTGATATTGTTATGTTATGTTTCCATGTAACTGTTAAAAATCCAACTAAGACAAAGTTGTGAATTGTGTAATTGCATTGGTTATCTGATTAAAAAGATAATATTAACACTATTCACGTATAGTGAAAAATGTCTTAATCGCTAATCAATGATGGCACTTCTTCCTTGATACGCAATGAAAGACCGGTTGTCCTGGGTTGAGGCGTAGAACTCGATGACGGTGAATATTATTTTCTTGTGCAATGACAAATGTATCCCTGGTGATCATGAGAACACGATTTCAATTACTAAGAACATATTTTAGATGATTTTACCCAGGTTAAGAAGACTTTTAAATTTTACGTACGTAAGCATTGTGTATTTCACAGGTACAAATTATTCACGAATATGTTACGTTTGCACTCAGCCGTATGTAAGTAGGAACGACCTGAAGTAAACTTCTCACCCCGACAATTTATTTTCCAATGATGTAGTCACAGCATCTACCCGCTTGATACCACTTTTCCATTGCACTGCTAATGTACACTGAAATGCCACATGAGCCCTGAAATTCGTGTTGTAACATTTGCGTTTTATTTTCTCTACAAATATGGCTATCGTATATCGCTTTTGAAAACGTCGATATTCAAAACATGATGGGGTAAGGTTTTTTATTTTTACAGGTTTCCATTAATTACCACAATTCATCTCATCTGCCAGGGATCATTGTCAGCCCCAGATCTGTTGGAAGCTATGAAGACGCACACTGAAACCTCGTATGTGTTCACAAGTTTTCTCTTCTTCTGAGAAGATCAACAGTTTTTGGTCTAATTTGCCTGGGCTACGATGCCATCTTAGCATTTGCTCAATGGATCTGGGAATCCGCACGAAAACCTGATCGATATGGAGATTATTGATCCAGAAGCTGAAGTGCAATTCTTGTTAAAGGCATTTTAAGTCTTTTTGAAATTTCACATTACGAAGGTTAACCAACAGAATATATATAGTTGTAAAAATAAATATTATTTTTCTTTTTGGTGCTTAAAATGTTTTCTAATTGCATAGTAACAGTTATGCAGGAGAAAAAAGTTGCATTGAAATGTAAACATGAAAATCACATTTTATACAATATTTCAAATTAAGCAACCCCATTTTGGTTTGCGTCCGTGCTGCTGCTCCTGCAAATTCAATTATTGTTCCTCTAGTTATGCAAATGAACTTTCACTAATATTAAACGTTGATGTATTTTGTTGATGTTTCAGGTTAGTTATCTTGAATTCTTCATTCTGAGGTATTGTTATCACACGCTTCAGACCAAAAGCTCCAATGCCTCTGTGATCTTTGTAACAAAGGAAATTGAATCTTTCTCTGAAAAAATAATTTTTTCATCTCTATCTACGATCATTTTAATTTTCATTACATGTTCAGAGAGAATACAATTCGGATTCCGGATTACGGATTCAGGAAAGAAGTATGTGGAGTGAAAAGTTCATGTGTACTTTCTAATATGTATTTGTAGTAAACATATGTATACTCCAGAACTATATTTTGTGGTTTTGAATAAAATAAAAATATATATATGCGTTCGGTTTTTTCGAAGTGAATTTTGTAATATATTAAAAAGTTGTGAAAGGAAGGTCCCCTTGGTTCATGTGAAACAAAGAAAAAACTTCACAGAGGCACAGTTCGCCACAGTTCGCTCCCAGACACCATAGAGGGAACACCTCCGTTTGTGCCTCCTCTTGTGTTCACGAGTGCAGTGTTATCAGTTGTGTATTAGTGTTTTTGTCACAACAAATAGGAATCAATGCTAATCTAACATCTATTTAAAGTCAGCCTAACTCGGCTGACAATCACAATGTTCTCCAATGTAAACAACAACTTAACCAAACTTCCGATGGACCCAGCTCCTGAAAATCAAGCAAAGAAGACCTACACCAACGCTACTGTGAGTGATGTATTTTCTACCAAAGTCCAAGGAGTTATCATAGAAGCCCACGAAGGTATTTCAATAAAATAATATATTACTAAACTCGCTACAATAATGAATCCCAATGACATTAGATTCGTGTCGCGCATATCTAATAACAGAGTTTGTGTATTTCTAAACACTAAGAGAACAGCAGAGTACCTGACTAGCAACTACTCTACGTTAACCATCAAGTATCATAAACTGAATATCAGACATTTAATTAATAAGCTTAAGAGGGTAATAATTTCTAATGTTTGCCCTGTGATACCACATGATGTTATCCAACGAGAATTTTCAAAACATAATATACATATAAAGTCCAATATCTCATTTATTAGAGCTGGCATTCCTGAACCAGGATTTACACATATTATGAGTTTCAGGAGACAGGTGTTTATAACACCTGAAGATGTTAGCAATCTTCCAGAATCAACCACTATATTGCATGATGGTAACCAATATAGAATTTCTACAGATGATATGACATGCTTCTTATGTAAACAGTCTGGTCATCTAGCTAACCAGTGTAATAACAAATCTATCCAACATTTTGCAACAGAATATGACTTAGCAAATGAAAAATCTCAAAATGAATTTACTAATAATTCCATTGAATTTATTGAACCACAAAGCGAAAAGGAAAATCTTCCAGTAAATGAGAGTAATTTTCCCTCTATTCCTAAGAGAACCCTCTCATCAGAATCTTCATCCCAGATCGGTTCTGAAAGTAATAAGATAGATAAGACATATTTGGATAGTAGTAAGCAAACTAAAAAGAAAAAGAAAATTGGTCAAGAATCAAATCATATTAGTACTCATGTTCAGAACACCCCCAAGTCACTAGATGAACTTCTTGATCCATTAAAGGCAAAGTATGAAACCAATCCAATTGATTACCCCCTCACATATAACCAATTGAAAATTTTCATTGACAAAGCTTCAGGAGCCCCAAACCCAACAATAATAGCCAGTGAATTTTCACTTGATATTCCATCTATTATCCAAATAATGTCTGAATCTTATCCATTACTCACAGAAAGGTCAATTAAATATAAATTACATATTTACATTATTATATTATTATATTTACATATTACATTACATTATTAAAAAAATACAAGTATTATCAACAAGTTGAAGAGTTCACAAGAACAAATGGATGATTCGGATGCAGATACATCTGAATAATAACTAGAAATGAATGTCTTACAATGGAATTGTAATGGATTCTATGCCCGTCTACCATCCCTGAAACTATTAGTTAAAGATATTCTTCCTCAGATACTATGTTTACAGGAAACAAACTTTAAAGAAATCATTCTGGTAAACTACCCGGATATTCTACATCTTTTTGTAATAGGAATAATGCTCGAATTGCTTCTGGTGGTGTAGCTATCCTTGTTAAAAATGATATTTATGTGCATGATATTCCTATCCAAATTTCTCTTGAAGCCGTAGCTGTAAAGATTAAAATCATTTCCCATATCAATGTCTGTAATATTTATATCCCCAATAGGCAGGACTTTGATGTCTATCAACTTGACAATATTATCCAGGGCCCTATAATTCCCTTATAACGTGGTGGGGACCATTACACTCTAGAGCATCCTCTTCTTACAAGAACTAAAATACAAACTGCTACCAACGTTATTTAAAACGTCCGTGGGTTCTCGGGACGCAAACACACGCGCTTGATACAAAAAATCGCGCCGCTGTTCGCGCTACCTTTTCTTTCGTGCGTGTATTACTATGAATAAATGCATTTTAGAAGGTGAACACATAGTATTTAACTTCTTTTGTAATTTATTTCAGAAATCGCTCATAATCAAAGTGTATTCGTATTTCTTGACCAATTTGTATGTGCGAAAGTGGGCGAGCCTTACCAGCAGCTGTATCCGGCAACACTAGCGCATCCTATAGTAGCAACCTCTAACTTTGTCCCCAATTTTGATGGAGAGTTGCCGGGCGCTGATATTATCCTTCAGTTGCCCAAACCCTTTATAATTGTAGGAGACTTCAATAGCCACAATAAATTATGGGGATCAGACAATATTATAGACAAAAGAGGTAAAATCATTGAAGATTGGTTAGACAATCATAATGATCTTACCATATTAAATACAGGTCTGGCCACCCACTTTAACTGTAGTAATGGAAATGAAAGCAACATTGATCTTATTTTTGCCTCAAATGACATTGCAGCTAGAATTACATGGTCTACCAACAACCACCTATATGATAGTGACCACTATCCCATTAACAAGACCCTTTCAGACTTAGATCTATTCTCCAATCTGAGACGTGAGCCTAAATGGATCCTAGAACAAACTAAATGGGAACACGTCCAACAGTTTATCAAGTCCAATATTGCAACTCTTAATCAACCTAGGTTCTGAAGCGTTAAACAGTTTAGTGCATGACTTTGTTTCACTAATTCTAGAAGCAGCAAGAACGTCGATTCCCCATACCTCGGGAATAATTAAAAAACGCCAAGTTCCATGGTGGAACGAGTAATGTACTACAGCAATTAAAAATAAAAAAAGAGCATATAGAAAATTTAAGAAAAACAAAACCATGGTAAATGGTATTGCTTACAGGAAAGCAAGAGAATTTGCAAGATTTACTCTCAAATCCGCAATGATCAATTCATGGCAAAATTTCACCTCTTCCAACATACACCAATCTCATATATCAGAGGTATGGCATAAAATAAAAGCCAGAAGTGGAAGAAATACTCCCAGTATCCCTAAATATCTTATTGGTAGTACTGGCTTAAAACATGTTTGAACTCAAGCTGTATGTAGCCTTTTAGAGAACACGTTTGCTCAAAATTCAGATAGCAATAATTTTGACCCAAACTTTCTGTCTACAGATCCCTCGAGCATAAACGTAAGTCAAAATAACATTTTGCTACTAACTAGGAACAATAACGATAACTACAACAAACCTTTCCTTATGGAAGAACTTCTTTATGTATTAGATCAAAGTAAAAATTCTGCACCTGGGCCCGATAATGTCCCAAACAGTTTTTTGAAGAACCTTCCTGAAGTTGGACTTAAGTACTTACTTTGCGTTTATAATTATATTTGGACTGAACAACACTTTCCAGACCAATGGAGAGAAGCTAATGTTATCTCTATACCTAAACCTAATAAAGATCACACTCTACCTACGAATTACCGTCCAATCTCCCTAACAAATAACATCTGCAAGATATTAGAGAAGATGGTTTGTCGCCACCTGAAATGGATTCTTGAAAACCGTAACTTAATCTCACCACATCAAAGTGCCTTCAGATCCTTTAGATCAACAAATGACCTCCTAGTAAATATCGATACTACAACATGTGATGCCCTAGCTATGAATCAACATGTAATGGTAGTTTCAATGGATATTGAAAAAGCATATGAAACGATCTATAAAGATACTCATATACACCCCTGCTAAATCACATATAGTAGGAAATACGTTAGCATTCACTATCAATTTCCTAAAAAACAGATACCTCAGAGTAAAAATTCTAGACAGTTCGTCCCATCTTACAGAGATGTTGAATGGTTCTGTCCTCAGGGATCTGTCCTTAGTGTTCTATTATTCCTTCTAGTTATTAATGACACAAGCAGTATAATAGAAGCACCAGTGAAAATATCCCTTTTTGCAGATGATGTTACCTTGAAATGCAGTGGTAAAAATCTTAAGGTTACTGAAAGTATTATGCAAGAATCGGTAGATAGAATCACTAAGTGGTAAACTAATGCAGGAATTACAATATCGAAAACTAAATCAGAGTTCATAGTGTTCACAAGAAAAAGAAATGACGATAATGAAGAAGTGCATCTAAAACTGGGTGATCACCAACTTAAAAGGACTTATGTATGCAAAATTCTGGGCGTACTATTTGATTCCAAACATTTATGGAAACATCATATAACTGCTCTTAAGGTTGAATGTAAAAAAACACTTAATATTATCAAAAGTTATCACCCATTAAATGGGGAGCACAATTCGAATGCTTGATCAACCTATATAAAGCTCTCATTCAATCTAAACTAGATTATGGGGCAGTAGTCTACAGCTCAGCTTCAAAAACAATTCTGAATACTCTAAACCCTGGGATAAGCATTGCTTGCCGTTTAAGCCTTGGAGCATTTAGACCAGCCCATTTAATAGCTTACTTGTAGAAGCAAGACACTACCATTGGAATTAAGAAGAAACGTTCATTGCATAACCTATGCCTACTCCACATTTAGCATTCCCCCAAACCCCTCAAATGCAGTTATATTTAACAACCTCCAGCCTATATATGATTCCAGATCACAGCTCTTATTACCGCTTAGAGAGAGACTCCCTAAGTATCTAGAAAAATTCAATATCACCAAACCACTTTGTATCCCCAGACGTAATCATCCCATCCCACCCTGGCAGAACTTTAATATCACAACTAATACCGACCTCGCAAAAAAAACAATAAATTTCACTGAACCTATTGACAGGACACAATAAAGAATATCGGCACTACACCAAGATTATAACAACTTCTACCAAGTTTACACAGACGGGTCTAAACGTGATGGAATTGTAGACTGTGCTATATTCCAATTAATAAAATTGACTCTCACCGTCTCCCAGATTACTTCTCCATTGCTAAATGCGAAGCGAGGGCAATTCTTCAAGCAATTATAATTAGCACTAAAACATCAAAAGATACCCCCATTGCAATTTTTTCAGACTCGTTATCAACTTTGAAATCCATCGAGAACAGATTCAATTCCAATCCAATTATCCAAAAAATCGAAGAAATACTAGAAAAGCAAGCTATAAATGGGACCCAAATAGAAATGATATGGATCCCTTCGCACAATAAAATCTTCGGCAATGAGAAAGCTGATGCAGCCGCTAAACATGCCACATCAATTACTTGCGCCGACAACCAAAATCAAGGCACCTTCCAAGACTTCAAAAAGTTTGTAAAGGACTCCTACCTCAGCTATTGGGACTCTATCTGGAAATTGGATATCTCCAAACTCCACGTAGTGAGAAAATCAATTCTTGTACCAACTCTCCCCGGTAAACATTTTAAGAGAAGAGAACAAGTTGTAATCACTAGACTAAGGATACGCCATTTCAATCTCAATTTCTGCCACCTAATTAAGAGATCAGATCCAGAACCCTGTCCAAAGTGTGGTGCAGCAGTCTCCACCTTCCACCTTATTCTTAAATGCCCTGGTACAAATGATATAAGAAAACTTCTAAAAATTGAAGGAGCCATACAACCACTACTCAGTTCAACAGACGGATGTGCTACAATAATAAAAGTGTTAACAACTACAAAAATGTATAACCTTATATAGCTGATTAATGTAATAGATTAAACCGTACATATTATGTAAAATATGATTAAATGTAACAATTCTGTTCATGTAATAATTGCAACCTTTAAGTTTATACATACAATTGTACAATGACAGGGGTCAGTGATGACCTAGATGTTATAAAGCGACCATAAATAAGTAAATAAATAAATAAATAAAAACCTTAATTATTGAATTTCGTAAAAATCGTCATAAGAATACATCTTTTCTCGTATTTGGAAAACACTTTTGGCAACGTTTCATGGAGATTTTTGTAATTTCTGTAATTTTATGCAATAAATTCATAAGGTCAATTTAGCATACAAATTTGATCGTTTTATTTCCAAAAGAGTTAATATAGCTTCTTTGGAAAAGCAAAGCTCCTTTTAAAGTGTTAATGAGAAATTAGATTACAGTGTAAGGGTACAGACAAAACGCGTTGGTCAGACTATTCAGGGCGAAGTGGCAATTTACCAATTATTAACATTAAAACAAAATTTTAAATTTATATTTCTTATCGCCTATTACATTGGTTTTAACAGAAATATAAGTGTGTATTTCGATAGCACGCCCGCAGAACTCCACTGGGCATTGAAACCTCGAAGGCGCTGAGTTGCCCCCAACGCCTTCTCTTGGAGTGAAAAGCTCATCCTCGAAAGACCACTCAACTTCCAAGGTGTGGCTTATCAAGGTTGCTATGACAACCGTGACCACTCACGATAGCAGCATGGTCTCCACGCCGCTGTTATAGTAATGCTAGTGAAGTTGGGCTAGGGGGCCAATTCTTAAGACCACTCGATATGTTCGAGATTGTTTCGAAGCATTAAGAATAGGCTCCAGAGTCGAGAGAAATGCGAACCCCCTTCCAGTGTGAAATTTGTTCGTATGGGAAATTGAGACAGTGAGAAATTTGTTCGTATGGGACAGTATCAAAACATTACACATTATTTCCCCCATTTACTGTTTTAAACCTAATTTGCCTCGACCCTGAATATAGAGGGTAACGAACATCAAATAAGTTTTAAATGTGAGGAGCATTTAAAAATTCATTGTGTACTACCTGCCTATTCTGGCACTGCATCAAACAAATATACGATACATTTTCTTTTCCACAAAATGTGTTGCATATATTTGCACCAAGGTACCTAGAATAAGCATTTGCACGTGTTGGTTGCATAATAATGGAACACTTACACATTCAGTTGTTTTAAAAATAAAACAAAGAAAACTTTTGTTATGTAATGCTGTAATATAAATATGACATGCATATTGTACCTAGCAATATTTTGACGATTAAGATAACAATAGTGTGGTATTATCTTAGAACTAATTAAATCAGAAGCAGGGCTGCTTACATCGGTGAAGATCATTTAGAGAAACTTAATGTGGAACTAAGTGTGTTATTGTAATATTACCAAGAGCTATTCTACTGGAATCCCATACTTTTGAAGTCAATGTGCTCGATATGTCCCGCGAAAGTTGGCCTGCTGGCTGCGTGTTCAGAACCGCAGAAAGTATGTCTGGTGGGATCTGGCAACTGGCAAGTATTAGAACTGGAATACAATAAACGTGTTTAGGGGATTATCAACAAAGAGTACACGACGAAAATACAATTATACTCTTGACAATTATTCAGAAATATATTGGACATTTATGTTAATTTAATGACATTTTATCACTAATTTTTGGAACACTCGATTCTGTTCGTATGGTAGAAATGCAGGGTTAAAAAGTATCATCTCAACTTATCTTACTCTGAATTTGAAATAGATAATTGGCTAATTGGATTAAAGAAAAATAATTCATATGGTATGCAAGTAAAAAAGTGAATTGGTATAATTCAAGTTTTTAAGAATTCAGTTTCGTATGTTCCTAAGTGCCAATTTCTAGGTTTACAGAAAACAAGAAAAATATACAATGAACTAGATGCTGGCAACCCAGAGCTTTCTCTGAGATTTTATGGGCGCTGATATATTTCTATGTGTTCCTCAAAAAATATTGGGCTGATCTCAGATTCATTGAAAATTATCAGCTGAAAAATCATGATTTCGGTGTCCTAATAAAACTAAACGACTCGTAGAAAAATTGACGTAATTGACGTTTTCCTTTTCTATTTCGACTTCATATTCTATTTCGACACTTATATCAAAGTACTAGATGGAGGAAATCTCAATGAAGAGAGCCAGTCTCCTTGAAATATAGAACCATGATTAATGTTTTCATTTCGTCTCCAGATATTTGTAATTTCAAAGATATATTTTTAAAATACATTGAATATAAAAAAATCAAAATAAGTTATACGGTAATTAATAAAAATAAGTGTAGGAATGATAAATTTCTAGGTAATGAAATACTGTTGTTTATAGTAAATTGTGTGTAAACTCTCACTATCTACAATACAATTTTTTATCAACGCTGCAACGAAAAATCTAACATGTATTAAATGAAACACACAGCGGAATATTACGAGTTGGAAGACGTTTGAAATATTTTTTCTTCTCAATGATATGTGGGGTACACAATCATTTATTACTTAAGAATAAAATACGAGTATAAGGCTATAAGCGAAATATTGGTGAAATCCTGCGGTTCAAAATTGTACTAAAGGTTCACTCTTGAATAAAGCATACATACAACATTTTCGCAGAAGAAAAAAGAGGGAAATGCTGAAGAAGGTTTAATTTTTGCAGGGGTTCTGTTGTTGCAATAATGATTGGCGAAAATGCTCAGCGCCATGCTCACATACACGACTCTGTGAATTGGTATGTGCGTGAGGAAATGGTTAATGGAAGGAAATTATCAGAAATAATAAATGAAGAACATGAAAACGTCAATTATTTGCCTGGTCACAAGCTTCCCGAAAATGTCGTAAGTAGTGGATTATATTAAGCATTTTCTTTTCCTGAAAAGATTTTTAATTATTTCAATATGGATTTTAACAACGAATATTTCATTATATTTTAAATATTATTTATTCTCTCTATTTCACATAAATTCTCATTACTTAAGCGCAATTTTTAATTTCTCGCCCTTGATTTATGGGAAGAGGAAGTACAGTAATCGTTTGCCGGAAAAGAGCGAATTTTTTTCTAAAAAACTCTTATTGTTGGGACCTAGCAACGAAAAACTGGATGAATCTTGTTTTTAAATATAAAATTACTTCCTCTAACATGTTTTGGTGCCAGAATTGATGGTTTGTGGGTCCTTGATACCGAAAAATCGTGTCACGGCAAAACGTCCGTCTGTCAGTCGACATGTAGTCAAGGCACCTGTAGTCCGCATGTACCAAAAACAGTCCAGCCGATTTTCTGGAAAATTAATAGTCCTTCGCCAATTTAAAGAATCTCGAGATCATGATAGTATGTAACGGATATTTTGATTTTTGAAGATATTTTACATGAAGCCTGAGCAAAATTTTTCTAAAAATTTGCTCCAGATTTTTAAAATTAAACTTGTCCTGGATAGCGTAAGGTACACTTAAGAGATGTGCAGATCTCCTTTTTGTTGAAATCCCCGACTTTTCGAGAATATCAAATACAATATTGAAGATATAAGTTTTTTTCTGAATGAAAGCTGTTTTTTAAAGACATACCTAGAAATACGATCATGTAAAATTTTTCAAAAGTACAAGTATTTTTCATGTACTTTTGCATGAAATTTAAGCAATTTTTAAACAATTATTTTCTCTGAAACGGCTCCAATTTTCTCCTTTAAACTTTCTCCTCGTATGTACCAAAAAAGGATTAAAAATTAGTTCTTACCACATTTCCAGCAAACTCTCTATATTTTCAGAAATTTCAAAAAGTTAACATTTAGAAACTACAAAGTTAAATATATTTTTGCCTTAAACCAAATCGATTCGAAAAAACCAACTCTTTAAGAAAGGTCATGAATATTTTTTTGAAAGAAAGAGTCGTTTTTGCGTAATTTCTGCTTGAAATGTGTGTATAAAAAATGCAATGTATAATATACACGTTCTCTCAAAAACCCCTTCAAATATTTTCTTATTTTTCCACAAATAAAACAAGGGTCACTTAAAAGAATGGCGCAGATCTAATTTTCGTTTAACTCTCCAAATTTTCGAAAATTGCAAATTTAGAAATAATGCGGGAAAGTATGTAGTCCCACTAGTTTCTATTTCCCAATTCTGTCTCGCAGCTACTATACTTTCGCTTCAATATGCTTCTACATCCGGCCTATCTTCTTTGTCCAGAAATCCAAATATTTGAACACGTCAACCTCCTTTGCTATGCAATTTGCACTTGCTCCTTGCAGTTTATCACCCTACCGTTGCGATTCCGCTTCTCACTTTTTCTCATCCTAGACTAACTAAACCCAAACTCCTTGCTTTTATGAATTTTCAGTCTCAGTTGCCTGCAATCCAGGAACTTCTGTGGTCTACGTAACATTCTCTTTACTCTTTCTCCTATCCTCCCGAGCACCAAATCGCTCATATAGTCCCAATACCAAAATTTTAAGATCCTGAGAAGATTCGAAACAAAAACACTGAGATATATATGCAACGCTCCGTGGTTCGTCACCAACAATAATTTGTACAAAGATTTGAACATCTCAACAATGACAGAGACTATCTCGGAGAGAAGCAAGAGGCATCAGAAGAGACTGGGATGCCACCCGAATCAACACTCAGTGAACATGTTGGACAATAGTGAACATGTGTATAGGCTAAAGCGTGAACATATTCTAGACTTACCCTTTAGATTCTCTTCATAGTAACTTCTATCATGTATACCATTTACTAATTGTTCCAAGTGAACAGATTGTAAATTAGTAGAATTGAAAAAGAAAAAACCAAATTTTCTTTCTTCTAAGCCTACCTGCTCCATCCTACGCTTTCCTCAACATTTCCTCAAGTCCACACTAAAGATAAATAAAAAACATAATGTAAATAAAATGTAGATACATTTAAGAAATGTTTGGGTCACAAGATGCAGATATATCAACAGTTTCGCATTTACTAAAAGTCCATTCTTATTCCCTTTTGAGTAACAAATAATTTTTTCTCACTACAGCCCGGAATTTAACTTACCTTTTCATACAAGAGCAAATGTCAAATTATCGATAGACTCATTCGTACGTTCATATGCATGTTACAGCAACAACGCTTGTAGTTCACTACCGGGTGTTACACCAGTAGTTACACCACACCGCACATCAGCAGTAGAGAAAACAGCAGTAAATACTTGTCATCACATCATGGTGAAACATTAAAGCATCACAGAATGGTACACATTGATGCTGAATGGTACGCACTCAACAACACGCTGATGCAGGGACGAACCCAAAGGGAGGGGGTTAAGAATCATTAGACTACCTCCCTCCACAAGCCCAAGGCTCATTTTTAAAGATATGTTTTTGTCTAATTTTCTGTAGATGCAACAGACGTGTAGTATCTTAGTTTAACATGCTATACGTAGGTGCAAAAATAAATTACATTTTAAATTCAGCATAAATGAAAAAATGTTTATAAAAACATTATGATGTCTGGATATTACACATAGAGCCTCTTCCTCAAAAACTTTAGTTGTACCACTGGAAGAAGCAAAACTTTCGAAAATAAAGATATGTCTATTCAATTTAATTAATATTCTTGTTCTTAAATCTATTACATCTTCTTTACAAACGATTCAGCAATTAAAATCGTATTATCTTATTTGTATTACATGTTATTTAATATCCCTTTTCCGGATAAAATACACGGCCAATCGGAGAGTTAAGATGTTATTTGAAAGCCGGAATTCCCTGAAGTCTGCATATGTAATGTACATTTTAGTGTGTTGTATAAACCTGAATAATTTGAAAAATATTTTCTTGAAATGTTGACATCACGAACGTGATAATAAGGCGGTACTTTCGGGGTCAGGCCACGTACCACAGGCCGAGGACAGTGGCAAGGAGCAGGATGGGTTTGAACAGTTTGGAGTAATGCAGAACAGAGTAGGCCAGGCCATACTAGAGAGAGGATACACCTTAGATCGAATGCATTACTTTTCCTGTCTGAATTGATGAATAAGGTAATATAAGGTAATAAGGACATATCCAGAAATGTAAAAGGATTCAGCTTTAAACTTCCCAGCTGTTTAATCATACGGATTTCCACTATTATTAATAAAATACAAATACCTTGCGCTGGCTTGGTACCAGTTTTTGTTCGGCGACGAAAGAATCTGGGATTTCACCGGAGGCTGTCTCTCTTTGACAGTCAGGACGGCGGTTCGTTGCTGAGCATCCTTATTTCCACCACCATTCTTTAGTCTTCGATGTGTGTTTTACATCGTCGTTAGTCTTCGGAGTGTGAACTGACGGAGATCAACTCTTCTGCCTATGTCTTCGCCTTGCCTTCCGGTCTCACTGTCGGCAGATTTTCTTCTCACAGCAAACTTCTAAACCCGCTCAAGGAAACTGCCCATCCCAACATCGCACAGTTAACTGAAAACTGATCAAATTTTCTGCTGAAATCCCCACTAATGACAACAAAATGTATTTGTTAACGCTTCATTTTACTGAAATAAGAAATTTATATCCCACTGACTTCTAAAGGAACTGAACTCACTACAGGAAAGTCACTGCTCTGAATGAACATCATAGAGAAATGGTAATTTTCGTAATTGGTATTGAAAATGAGTATTTGTCTTACGAATAAAATGATGACGGCGAGTCGACAATAGGAGCAGGAGCCCTGATCGACATTTTGAAATGTGTTCCCCAAAGACATTTTCGTACGAGTTGTGTACATTATATTTTAATACGAATTCATGGAAACTTACTCTCAATACGCGAGGTGACAGCCCCATATGATTCATGTTGCCCAAATGTTTTTTTTAACTTGCAGGTTTCAGTTGTTTTACATGGTCTCGAATTTTTTGTCATACGCGTAGTAAATTAGTACGAAAAGTAACACTCCAATCCATAAGCAGTGAAGAGAAGAACTAGTTTGTATGCATGAGTGCTGAAAGAAACGTAAATTCACCATGACTCCTGCCCGTAAATTTTAATTTGTAGCCACGTGCATTATGTAGGGTTGACAATCAGCGAGACCTATGATTGATGATTTTTATACCGCGAGGCTTCTAGAAAGATTTCATATTTAGTACCCCGAATAATAATATCGGTCGGATTAAAAAGTAATTATATTTAATGTAAACACAGATACATTTCTCTGAACCACTTCGACATTTTGTTGATATGTCTTTTCTAGGTTGCTGTCACTGACATCGTCGAAGCAGTTAAAGACGCGGATGCTCTCGTGTTCGTCATTCCTCATCAGTTTATCGTGGCCACGTGTGAATCGATCGTTGGGAAAATAAAGCCCACCGCGCACGCCCTCTCTCTTATTAAAGTAAGACACTTTGTATCTGACCAATAATTCGTCATTAAGTGCTTTTAAATGAAACATCTAGATAATTATTTGAAAATAAACGACCATTTGGAGATAGATTCATCAACATACTCTTCTCGAGGCGTTAAAATAAACGTTTCTATAATAAAATAAAATAAAATAAAATATAAAATAAAATAAAAAATAAAATAAAATATAAAATAAAATAAAATATAAAATAAAATAAAATATAAAATAAAATATAAAATGAAATAAAATATAAAATAACAAATAAAAATTTATTTCGTGCTCTTAGTCATTAAAAAAAGGATGAAACGGGATTTTCCTATACCTGAAGTTTCTCGTACTTTCACTTGTAGGATATATTAGGGTGCATGTGAAACAGTCAATTTATTTTAAATTCACATTTTCAAGGTTTAAAATTCACTCTTTTTATTATTTAATGCGTTGATTTAATGTTATTTAATGCAAAATTTCTGTGACAGTTATAACATGAGCTATAAACACAATTCTTTATTGCACTTTTTTAAAACCGTTGAAAATTAATTTCGCCTAAAAAAGGCGTGAAAAATGAAACATGGATTTCATTTCTTTTTTTCTTACGCTGTTCATAGAAAAACAAATTTTAAAATCTTGATATCAAGATTCAATTTTACTTAGAAATGCACACATTGAAGTGGAAAAAGTGCACAAGAGCAGATCACTGTTAGAAGCGGCCAATGGAAGCACTATCTTTAGCACAGGATCAAGGAGGCCGGGGTTCAACGCTAATCTGTTTCAGAGAAGCCAGGCTGTGCCCCTGCAAGGTAGGCATACCATCATGCATGTAAGTCGTACGTATTGACAGTGTTTCAGGCTGAGGGTCGGCAGAATTTAATGCATAATCATTGCAGTGGGGGTCGTCAAATAACGTTTAATTTTAGATCTCAGTTAACTGGAAAAGTAATTCTTGCGTTTCACTTCACTGTATTTAACCAGAATAATTAAAAAGTTATTTATTAGAATAAAAACTCACGCTGAATTCATGATTTGTTTCCCAGTTTTTGCTCTCCTTTCTTCTTGTAATAATTATTAAGTGACTCATATAGGAATGATGATGATTTTAAATCTTGCCTTAGCCCTTTCAGTCCGAAATAGATGTCATTCTTTCGCCACAAGAACGTGTTGATGTGACCGACCTTGCAGGGGGACAGACTTTATCACAACCTAACGCTGAGCTGCAGCCTCTGTTAGACTCAAATGACTCGACTAGTGAAAATTTCTTCTCTTTGTCACCCGTGCGTGTCCCCTGATTTATGACGGAACAGATTTAAGACGAAAAATGTGTGATTTTGGAGATTATCCTACGAAGTAATCAGCAGACACAAAGGCAACTTACGTCACACGTTATGATCGTAAATACCTTAGCCACGGTGGTCTGTGCTCTAAATACCCGTTTCTGAGCCTCTGGAGACATGTTCCTTTGGTCGTTATCTATAAAATGAAACCGTTCAGGGCCTTCTATTACATTTTTTGGAAGTGGCTATTCTTATGTTGCCATTGGCACAAACTCATCTAAATATGTTACTTTTTGATAGAAAATCGTTACATAGAATTGGGGCGAACAACTTTATAACGAAAATTACGTATTTCAATTGTGCATAATACGAAATACCCTTGTCCGAAAATAATAATACGAAGTTATACCCTTGCCCTGTTGACGAGTCTCACTTCGGTAACATGTAGTTCACGTTTTATAGGTATACTACTTAGATAATGTTATCTATGTGGACCATTTGATATATAACATCACATACTCCAAAAAGTTTATAAAGTATAGTAACAGTAAGTGTAAAACTGTGTAATCTTCGTCACCAACACGTTTTATTACTAAAGTGAACAGTGATTACAATGTCACTGGTAAGTCACCGGTTATTGTTCAAAATTTACATTTGTACCTCCCAATTGAAAGTTAATAAGCGTTTGTTTAAATCGTTTATTAGTTATATGCAATACTTTACTTCCGATTGCTATATGTACTAAATGATGATTTAAGTATTAAAAGTGTACTGATGTTAAATACAGGAAAATATATTTTGTTGCAATTCTTTCCATTGAAAGAAGTGTGTTGATGGGAGCCAATTTAGCAAAGGAAATTGCTGATAAATTTTTCACCGAGGCAACACTCGGTCAGTGCCCATTTCTCAAAATCGCGTTAATTAGAACTGATCTAGATTGTAATATATTTTGTTGTTATAAATATAATAAGTTTTATAAACAAACTAATTAATCAAAGTGGACAGTTCGAATTAGTAGTGTAAAAGTGCCGTAATTTCGTTATAAAACACTCAGCAATAAATCAAACGAAAATTACACTTCTCTAAACAAACAGTTTTTACTGCTTTTTGAAAAAAACATTCCTGTTTTCATAAATATTTCAATTAATCATGCGTAGAGGGAGATAAATCGTAAAGGCAAACATACATATACAAAACAATTAAATGTGTTTAAATTCGAAATATATATCAAATTATGTTGTATTTGATGTTCTATGCAATTTAATCGATGTAGTATTTGTAATAGTTAATAATCGCGTAGTAATATTAGAATATTCACCTACGCTCAGTTCTTAGACTATACGACCGACCAAAGCTTCGGTTCAAATTCAAAACTATTTTCATTTTTAAATTGATGATTTTCAAGAGTGAACTATTTATACAGGTCCCACTAATTACTTTAATTCAACTTGTGATAGGATATGAGAAACACAAATTTTAAAATTAGACTTAGTTTACATTTTTGAGACATTGTAACATAAATACCTTTCTTGTGAAATTGCAATGATATGTTTGTAGGGATTTCACGCACCGCAAGATGGAGAAATTGAACTAGTTTCTCACGTAATTTCAAGAATTCTTTCCATTGAAACAAGTGTGTTGATGGGAGCCAATTTAGCAAAGGAAATTGCTGATAAATTTTTCACCGAGGCAACACTCGGTCAGTGCCCATTTCTCAACATCGCGTTAATTAGAGCTGATCTAGATTGTAATTAATGTAGATAGCAGCTTCTGTGTCTTGAATTAGACGAAGGGAATATGCTACTTCTTAACTTGAATAAAAAGATTTGTCACGTTAGAAATTAACTCTTCAACTACAACAGGATAACTAGGATATGGGTTTTCGACATGTGTTTTTGATGGCAATTACAAGAAGTCTGAGAAAAGTCTAAAATTAGTTTTTTCAATAATTTTAATCATTATCCCATTCTCAATTGCAACGTTAGTTTATTTTTATTTTCTTGCAAAGAGAACTTATATTTGATAAATAACTTCCAAGTACATTACAAGAAGGTGTGATCTCTGAACTATTTCTAACATCTTGTTACATCAAATTACTCAATGTTTTACTGTGTATTTTCTCATATCTATGACAAAATACACACATATTTAAAATTATATTTTATATTTTGATATTTAGATGAAATGTTTAGTTAATATTTTATAATTTCCAACGATATCGTGATGTTATCTTTGATTAATGTATTCTTGTTGTAGTTCAAACATCTGATAAGATCATTCCTGTAAAGGGCGAAATGTGAATTATATTATTAAATCACGAATTCCTTGATGTGAAATGAAGCATCTGAACTTGTCATTCTTTTTCCAGCTGATAACAAGGGTAGCGATGCTAAAATTCATTTTTTATGACAACTTCTTTAAAAATAAGAGTCATTTTGGGCGCCATATTTACTTAAAACCAAACATACAATATTTTTCTAAAAATAAGATAACAATCCATGCCCTGATTGTTCCTTCAGTTTGTATACAGAAGTGGTATATTTGTGTCTCCCAGGTTATGCTTAACGGTAAGCAATTTTATTTTAGCGTGCTGTCACAATTTAAGGAAAAGGGAGTTCTTGAACATGGTTGAAAAATATTTGGAAGTTTTAACTAAGAAATGAAGTAAATTGTCCGTCATTTAATCATGAATTTTAGGTTCTCGTATGACGAGAAACGATAATTTGTGTTACTTTATATTTATTTATCAGTAGGACTACCACTTAACAAAAACTTTATTCAACTCGAACACCTTCACCGAATTTGTGAAGTGATGAGTTCGAAGCTGTCTATAACAATATGCTCTTAATTAACAGTAATATCTCGTTAATTTGTTTTAATTAATGAGGGAATAATATTTTATTTGAAACAAACGACTATATTACCTGTTGAATTATGAAAAAAAATTCTAATGTGATACACTTGTAACCTACCGGAAAAACATTACACTACCGACTTTGGGTAGTTAAAGATGTCTTCTTAATATCGTCGTCCATAATTCTCATCGTGATTATGAAAATTATTTTTCTGTTAACACGTGTCGTTGCTAATATTTCGAAGTAAAAAAAATTGTGTATGTATTAACGACATATTAGTGTAAAACGATTTTGAATAATCTACTAGCATGATAAATTCACTTAAATTGTCGAGAATTTCAAGTATCACTTTTTAAATCACACATAACGGAACTCAAGTGATGTACTTTTAGGCAATACTTGCTGAACCTCTATTATTGCGCATTTTAGAATAACTTAAGAGGTTCCTTGAAGTTCAACATTCATTATTAAACCAAATTTATCACATGAAATACCACAATTGCATATTAAATTTCCAATAAATTTCTGAGACTTGTAGAGACAACGAAATTCATCTGGAAATATCCTTGCATGAGTTGTATTTAATACGACTATCCCGCGGATGAAATTATCTCCAAAAATTTTTCCGAATGCGCCAAATATTAATCATATTGTGTTTGCCTCTAAGAGCAGAAGACAGCACATCCTACGACTCATGTTCCGCACCTTGTGACTGGCGATAATTGTTGGGAATATACCATCCTGATTGATGCATACCAGATGCGTAGTCCATCACTCTTGGTGTTTTCTATTCCCGAGTGCAATAGTCGTTCAAACTTTTCTTAAAATAGGAGTATTTGGCAATCAACTCCAATTTAATTTTAGTTTCATAGAAATGGTCGAAAAGTGAAGAACGAAAAAAGTGGTCGGGAGTAAATGTAGAAATAGTAATTGAAAATAAAAAAAACAGAAATAATTTGAGTGTGAACCTCTTACTTCATGGACACAAAAAAATAAATTACCGTCCCCCATTTATGTGTTAGTCCAGTCATGCTTGTAGTTAAGAATGCGAGTAGAAACGGGTTCTTGGGAACCCAATTGCGGGTTTCTTTGTCCCACAGCTAATGGTGATTATTATTAATTAAAGGGAACCTTGCTTCATTTGCAGCGAAGCTATGTGGAATCACCTGGAAATGATACTGACGCAATCATTTTGAAGAATGCGTAGTTCAGTCGCTTTTTTTCCTTTTGGGGCCAAGTAATATTGCGGGGTCAAAGTACCACATTTTTATGATACCACGTGACAGCATTCTACTGATTCGAAAATGTTCTTAATAAATTATCCCAAAAAATAGAATACTAGCTTATTTTGTTATTGACAAATGTTGCTGCGATATCTCTTCTAGGCTGCAGTAATAAGGCGATGGCTCCTTTATGGGTGGATATAATGCAAACGGAATATTTTGAAATAGCCGTAACAGAAGATAAAACAACCGTTGAGATTTATAGTGCACTTAAGGTAAATCACGTGTCTGAATCTGGTAAGATTTTCGCATTTGATCTTGAAATAGGTATATTATATTTGCGAGAATATATATTCCTACCTATCTATTATTTTGGTTTAGAAATTTAAACGTAAGTTCGACTTTAGTTTGCTTATAGACGAAATATTTTGAGATAATTTATCTGACCCTTTATTAATGAGGGAAAATGGGGAAAATGATGCTTCTCAGTATTGAACCAGCGGCTCAACATACAGCCGTATATTCTTTCTCGCATTACTTGTACCTTTTCCAATTTTCTAAAATTCAGAGAGTTCAACGAAAAAGACATCCTTTAAAGCATCCCTTGGTGTATCCATGAAAAATATTTGAAGAAAAAACTTTTGGGAGTTTTTTGAGAAAATATTTTGTTTATAATTTGCATTTACTTCAAGTAGAAATTACGGAAAAACTACTTTTTTCAAAGAAAATTGCAAATAACCGTTTTTAAATATGAGTTTTTAGAACAGATTTTACAAATGTAACTTTTCTCTCACGTAGTTAAGAGTTTCAAATTACAAGGGTTGAGACAAAAGTAATGGCAACTATTTTTTTCTAAAGGAAATGTAATTGTATCAGACAATTTAATTTGTGACATGAAAGAAATGCTGTCTATTCTAACACACTCATAGCCATCTGTTGTTCGCAACCACAGATGGCTATGAGTGTGTCTCTGTTATCATAGAGAGCAATTGTGAAAACAGTTGTCTGACTGCCGCTGTGCGAGATCAATGTAATCTGTTTTGAACAACGTATGTACAATAAGAGAGCAGTTCTCTATGTGAGAAATACTCGAGAATGTCACAGGGAATTTGTCTTCCTTGCCGGAGAACTGCGAGTTGGGCAGAAGAGTTTCTGTGAGAACGTGTTGCAACCAGTGATCTGCAACGCACGGGACGACCTGAGTGTGCGGACCGATGTGAACGTGCAATACTCGAGCTGCCTAATCGGGCTTTAGAACGGTTATGTAATGCTTGTGGAGTTCGTGAACTCGTGTAGGCTAAAATACTTTGGAACGTTAATAAATATGAGAAATTATTAATACCTTAATAAACACGAGAATCACAAATTTGGTATGTCGTTATAAGCCCATGCACTTAGTTCATACCCTGCCCTTACATGTGTTTCGTATTTCGTATTATACACCCTTGTTCGTATTCTCACAAAAAATACTTGCCATGACTTGTGCCCAAATATTTTTCTCATATTTCTAATGAACTTTCTCGGAAATTCTAAATTTTCTTGAAAAAAAATTATAGCAAAATTACACGTATTCAGAAACGTTCAAACGACATTTTTTCAGAATCTTCTCCAACTTTTTCAATGGAATTTTGCATGTAGAAATAGTTTTCATGCTTCTAGGATATAAGTCATATTCGAATTCAACTATTACCGGAATGAAAAACTAAGATAATGTTAAGAAATGTATTTTAAGTGCTCATAGGTAGAAGCTGGGAAGAGATTAGGGCAAAACCAATAATCTAGCCGAGAATAAAGAGGTTAGAATACTATCTAGTACGAGAAAGAGAGTGCCATTCTGTTGCATCATTTATCGTGATGTGAAAAAAACTATGATAAAGAGAAAACAATTTGCAGCTTTGAATTCAGCGTGAAATGGGCTATTAGAATTAACACATTACCATCGATGAAAAAAATTTTAATAAGTGTCATTCATGAACAGAACGTGGTAGCTGTTGCCGCTGGGATGGTGCAAGGCTTGGGATATGGTCTCAATACCACGTCAACGGTAATGCGGATGGGTATGTTGGAAATGATCAGGTTCGTCGATTTGCTGTATCCTGGTGGCAAGATATCAACATTCTTCGCGAGTTGTGGAGTTGCTGATGTAATAACCAGTTGTTCCGGAGGCAGGAATCGCAATATTGCGCAGATGTTTGTGACAGCCAGGCAGGTATGGAAACGTAGAAACATCACATTATTTTATAATAAAGCGTTTTATCTGAAAATATTCCGCAACACACTGCTCGGTTAATCGTCTTGTTCCTTGATATCGCTTGTGCATGACTCGAAAACTGTGCGACCTAGGACTGCAAAAGTTGCCAAAATATTGCTGTGCTCTATAATGTACAAAAAGCTCCTAATTGGGGTCTTTCGAAGTAGAATATCTCCAGTTAGTTTCTCATCTTATGATCTTTTAATTAGATCTTAGCGTGGTAATCATTACTACTATTTTATTTTGGGAGTTTGAACTCGGAAGAGTCGCTTCTGAGGAGTCTGAATTCGTCAACTCCATGGCGTGCAGAACCTCGAAACCCAATAAATCACGTTTCGTTAACATGTTTTTTCCATGAAAAAAAGAAGAGACTTCTTGCGCGGGAACGCTAGTTCTTAATCCTAAGGTCAGTTCGGAGGGCTAAGAGCCATCTTTAACACAATATGTTTCAATATTAGTTCTCTCTACGATGTAATGAGTAATAATATTCCTAAAAAAATGTATGAGGTGGGATATTATATTTTGTAAGTACAAAGTACACCATTTATCTCGTTTTTGTGAAGGAATCCTCGTAGAGCGCAAAGTGAGCCCAAGAGTCTTACACACTTTACTTTAACAATAAACATTTTAGCATCTCTCTGTTCCTCAAGTAGAAAATCAGAATTAATTTGGTCATTATTTCTTGACGATTGCTTGAGATTGTATGAGATTATAGTTGTTGTTGGTAAGATTGCTTTACAGGTGGACCCCGGTATTCCGAACTAATTTGGGGTGTGGTATGTTCGGATTATGCGCACAAATGTACCGTACATATCAATATGATTACCAGACACAATGCAACGTGTGCGATGTCAGAAAACGGCAGCGTAGCGTAGAGATTCGATCATCAAGCAAATTCAGATTCTTACGGCAAACGAAAATAGCTGATTTTGCAAGTTCCTCCAAAATGAAAATTACAGCTACATAAACATGTGATATACACTGTAGTTACCAGTGCAATACATGTTTCTGTTTACTGTACTACTGTATTGTGATAAATAATCACGTTATTGAAAAATATTTAGTGGTTACACATTATTGCCGAGAGCGCGTATTTATTATACTCATTTATTGCCACATCACGTAATGCGTGTTTATTTAGCGAAATGTTTGATTAAAAATGGTCTTGGTTGGTGGGAACAGTTACAAAAAATGTTTAATACCTAAAGCAATTTTGCCAAACAAGATAGGAAAAAAGGAATAATAATTGTATACCATAGAGGTTAATCACACTTTATATGCCCCATAAAGAAGAAGTATTCTTTCGAGTATGCATCACAGTGACAATATTGTAGCAGATAAATCTAAAAAGCCTGAACATATAATGTACCTCATCCTACAACGAAACTAGATGCTACAATGAAAGTGGAGGAAGGTACACTATGCGAATATAATAATTCAGAGTCATGCACAAAGAATACAAACAGATGGTCATATGCATTTTTATTGTTGATGCATCTTGTTCATATATCTGAAACAACAAATTTTGTCATGTTAATTTCACTGCACCCTGATTGGAAAACGAAATATGTAAAAAACAAGAAATATATCTTTCACAAAGTGGATTGAATTCCTGGCTGAAAGGAAAAATATATAAAAAATGTATAAATCACCTTATTGTAATGGTAATAGATATGCATTCCTATAAATTATAACCACTAACTTCAGAAATGTCGATTAGAAGAGGGAAAATAATCAGATCGAAAAAAAGCGTAAAATGCAAAAGCATTTTTACAATACTTGCGAGAAAGATACATGCAGTGAATATTCGATTTGTCAAAGAGAATATCAAAATGCAACAAACAAAAAAATCTAAAACTTTTATTGCCAAAAGTTGTAAAATACGTTAATGTTACGTTGTGTTCGTTGAATTTGTATATTATTAATATATTAGTAATTATAAGTTTATTATAAATGTAGCATATTTTCTAAATTTTAGGAACAATGAAATTCCTGGAAGTAAGAAGAAAATATGGGTTATTTTTCTTCTATTTGCAGAGTATGAAAACATTGGAAAGAACGCAACTCCATGGGCAAAAACTTCAAGGCCCGGACACAGCCGCAGAGGTCAATGTAATTCTCAAATCCAAGAATTTGGAAGACCGGTATAGTGGCTTTATTTGTACATAATTTATCACCCCTTTTAGATCAACATTCGGAATTAAATGTATTCGCATCGGAATTTTGAACATTTTTTCTGCAATTTTACAAGCAAATACGGTGTCACCATTCAATTAGTTTACTCTTTACTTTTTTGAATTAAATGGCACTGAAATGAATTTTTACTGACTTAGAGGGCATAAATTTTCTACATTCGTTGTTTCGAAAATATTACATTTTTTCTAAGTAGAAAACTCACACTTTCATCTTTGGATGCTAATCACAGGCATTTGAATCGTTTTTACAATTTAAAATGTACATGCGAGTTTTATCTCTCATTCCGAATAACGTTTTTATAATTCAGCAAAATTGAAATGGCGCATCAGAAACTTTTCGTAGAATGATGGTTTTTTAATTTGCAAACAATGACGAACCAATTTAACACATCCCTAGTTATTAATGCAAATTAAAGGGCAAGGGGACCTCGATCTGCTGTTGGGCGAGAAGTCTCATTACATTTTACCAGTATGTTCCTATTCTACAACAGATTCATTCTTTATTTTTTAATATTTTTGTTGGTTTTGCGTATTTTACTTATTTAGTATTGCTTTACTTTGCATATTGTTGGATTTTGGGCACCCGCATTAAGCTGATTCCTGTTCACTGCGGCAGTAGTAGTGACGGAAGGAAACACGTGATCCATCCGTATAGTCTTCAATGTTTCCATAGTGACCGATGACATTAGGCCATTGTCACACCTCCTGCCTTACAAAATGAATATTTTTAATTAATTCGCAAACGTCCTTCTCAACGAGGCTCGTGACCTCAGAAATGTGCTTACCACTGTTAAAACTATTAATTGTGGCGTAGCGTGTGTGTCAGCCGCCCGGGGCGGACGAAACGTCCGCGGCCCCCTTAATTATGTATTTCAGTTTAAAAGTCTAAAATGTACAAGCTTGAATAACGTAGCATATTGTCAAACATGCAATTGTATAAATAAAAAACGTAAATAAATATTTAATACATAGTCGAATGTAAACCTACACGAACAATAAATTATTTCACCGAAGTTCAATAACACAACAACACCAAAAAAATTGTGCTTGTGTCAGGGAATCAGACCATGTTTTCTCTACGTTTTGGGGGCCGCTAAATCCGAATCCGGTATCTATTTTGCTCCATCTCATCAAGTTTTTGACATAAACTTCAAAAATATAAAAAAATAAAAGATATTTCTCTCCAAGACGACACATATTTCAAATTTTTTAGAGGTTATGTGAAAAATATGTGATGGAGTTAAATGGGCTTCATATTACGGTTCAGCGACCCCAAAAACATATAGGTAACATGGTCTGACTCATCGGTTAGAAATATGTCATTTTTAATATTTTTCGAGGTTATGTCAAAAACGTGATGAGGAGTAAAATAGACACCGGATTTGAATTTAGCAACCTAGACTGATCCCCAGACCCAAACACGATTTTTTGTGTGGCTTTGTAATTTAACAAACACTACACGTACTTATGTGCAATAATATCACAATTTGGAAAGCGCATAATATATATATATATATATATATATATATATATATATACGATGAAGTTATTGTGAATTGGACAACTGACTATCCATCAATGAAATGTGCTTTGAATTGTTGAAGCATCACTCACGGACTTCCCTAAAGGGACCTATCCGAACTGTAATCTAATTTGCAGGTGTTGTTTTACAATATTGCACACCATTCTTTATATGATAGAAGCCGTTCTCGCTGAATATTATTCATGAACAATTCAAGCACAAAATAAAATACTGGAAAACCCTAGAAGTCAGTACAGGTGGTGTTGTTACTACAATGAGCAAGATGTTGTTATTATTATACATTCATATAAAGAAGTCACAGAATAAGTAATGGTAGATTCTGTACTCGGATCAATCGGTCGGAATCGTAGGTACGACAAAAATACGATGAAAATGGTATACATTTTTACACGATTTTATTATTGTAGTTGATATTATTATTGTTTATTGTGATAATGATGAATTATTAGATATTATTATTATTTAATGTGAAATTTTGCCGCCCCCTAAAAGTGACTCCCGGGGCGGGCCGCCGCTCCTGCGCTACGCTACACCACTGGGCAGGTGTAACAATGTCCTAATGTCATCGCCACTATACAAAAATCGAAGTATAATTGAGAGAGAACAATGGAGAAAATAGTGTTTTTAGTGCTGATGAGCATTTGGTGACTGCCGTGTGGGTGCATGAACGTTACAACACGAAGAAAACGATGGCAGACATTTCGAATGAGTTGTGCGTTTCGGAAAACCGCCACCAAAGTTATTGATATCAAAGTAGATCTTCTGCTTGAATAATATGATCCCTCGAATCAGCACAGTTACCTGCACATGATTCAGAGAGGTTGTTCTCGGAATTATCATCTAGAGATATAACAGGCCTAGTCACACTTCAACAAGACGGAGCTCCACCATATTTGGTGGTGTGTTCCCACACGGCTGCATGAATTGTTCCCGAATCGCTGGATTGGGCGCGAATCACACAACCTTACCCCCCACTTTTGCCATGGCCTCCACAAAACCTATACCCTATCAAATCTGCTAATACTCTTCGGAGCATAATAAAAGAAGAGGTTTGCAAACAACTATATACGAATAACCATCAACTGAAATGACGAGTACGCGTCGAATTCGAAAAGATCACCCCTGTAATGCGTATGAACACAAGAACTTCGCGACGCAACAACCCTTTCTTCGAACATGGTGGGACGCATACAGTCGTTTTTGATTGATGAACACCTTGAAAATGCAACACAACCATGTGCAATGTGTTACAACGCGTAACATATAGAAGGTGCGGAACATATCAACAAAAATATTAATAAAAAAGAGTAAATTTGATGTAGAATACTACCGTACTAATAACTAGGGAGCGGATTTTAATGAAATGTCATTTTTATTTCCTGTTAAGAACAATGCCGTTTAGTACAGACATTAATTTTGTTATGGCAAAAGGAGACCTTTTTCCCCTTACGTCACATACAGTTTTTACTGTTTTTTGACTGAATAAATCTAAATCTAAATAGCTCATTTTTATGTGCCTTTTTTTGCATTTTTGTTGATTTGTGCTAGCAAGTCATGTTTTTAAATTTTTCTGTCAGTTTAATGCATTTTTCGCTGATGTAATTGATTTTAATATAATATCAATGGTACTTGCTTCAAATAATATTTATGAGACGCAACAAATATTCGCCACAGAATGCCTGCCTATTTGATTTCTTTGCTCAGAAATTGAAATGTCGGCCGTTGTGACATCTAAGGTTCCTGTGACGCATCACAGCGCCATCGACGGTTCGGCCGATTTTGCTGGAAAAGAATATTACAAACCAAAAGTTTGCGATCTGAGTTCACTTAAAAAAAATCCATTACATTAGTAACATATGTTACTTGATGGACGACGGATATCCAACAGCTTGACATTTTTATCCGAACTGTTTTTATTACATTTTTACGTACTTTTTCTTTGCTCTTACAGCATCTAAATCTGCCCCAACTAATAACATTAAACAGTCTTCTCGCCCACTCTGTACATTACTTGTGGAGATGCAAATTATATTTGTCAAATCACTTTCCAGTGGATTAATATACGAACGTTTAATATTGTTTATTTCCGGTTAAGGTTTTGAAAAATTAGCTGGAATATAGACACTGAAATATAGGACAGATTATAGAAAGGAATAAAAATAGCTAAAAACTTTTTGGTAGGTTTCCCATAATGACTGCGGTACATCGAATCTGCTTGCAACAGATGGATCCAGAGGGCCTAATTGAAGTTATGAGAACATATGAAGAGAGATCGTAAGTGTAGTATTTACAAACTTTTAAAAAATCTTTTGTATCAATATCTACAGTTTGTGAATACGGTATACTAGTAATCTTTCCATAAAAAATTAATAGAGGGAGATCTACACTTTATTAGTCGGTTCAGTTAAGGGGATTACGGAAAATTGAACATTATCCAAAACCTAAATAACAAAATTTTGGGTATTGAGGGAAAATATAAAGATAATTGACACATTGTCATGTAAATTAATGAAACAAGAAATAGTAAAATGAATCTTGGATCCGGGGACTACTCGTACAAGAACAGTAATAACGTATTACTCGTGCAAGTTTCTTGATACACGAGCTCCCTAGTCCTCCCCAACCCTGAATAGCACGGCCGTTAAAATAGGTTCAACTCGGAACGGCATGTACCAATTTTACAAAGCTCCCAACAACCACCTCGAACCTTCAAAACAATCGTAGTCTTTGTCGTGGCAGCTTTGGCGCGTGAAGTTCTTGACCACAGTTGGTACGCCCTATTAAGCCGTGACGTATCCAGAGCCCTCCTCTCCCCGCAACCCCCTGCGGAATATCAAGAAAACTTGCGCGTATAGTACATAAGGTTTGGAGTTCGGGATTTGCGTTAGATTTATCTTAATATGGCAAATGAAGTGATAATGTTGTTTTCTAGTTCATTGAATTAGTAAAACGACATTTAGTGATGTTCTACTTAGTATCCCTGTACAATTAATATTTGTGTTTTCTTTTAATTTTCAGGTTAGTACTCACCAATACAACATGAAGTGCAATATTCAGAGGTGTCTTGCATAGATGAGTATTTAATTCGTTGTAAAGTTGTAGAATGTAATAAAATAAAATACTGTTAGTTCCGTCTTTTAAATATAAGTAAAATTCATAACAGAGCAATTTAGTTACTTGACCACCTGGCTTTCAACCGGTAGATGATTTTATTGCATTCCATAAATTTTCGACAATAATAATAATATATAAGCAGATGTACACAGAGCCGAAAGAAAAGTCCATAAAAAGTTTAAAGTGGCGAAAATGTTGGTAATAGATCCTTGATTCTTCATTAGATTGATTTTTAAATCGTCCCTCTACATCTAATACGGTATGAAAAAATGACGATTTTGTACAATTTACCAGAGCATTTGTATTTACTGCAGCCTGCAGGTGTCAAACGCAATAAAGTAATACGCATGATATTTAAACATGTGGATATCTCAGCTTCTTTTTTGTACTTCCATATTTCTTCAGATAACGGTCGAAAACGTCTGCCACTGAATTGTGAAAGACTTGACGAAAGGTAAGCACAGAAATTTGACAATTGATCCGGGTCCGTTGGTCGCTTGACGATTGCGATGTTTCCTAGATTCTATGCTATGGAAAATCGTCAGCAATCTGACTCACCAAATATAAAGCCAGACTAGTAACAACCAGTTTATTGCTTTGAGGGAAGGACTTATGTAAAGTACTAGTTTAAGAGTAGTATATCAATAAGTGAGGTAGTTACGTAGTCCACTCGGTGGCCATTTTTTAACAAACTAAGAATATCATTCTATTGCGTGGTGTATTATTCAACACACCTATTGGCTGCTTCATAGAAAAATATAAATAAAATTATAAATCTGGTTTCCTCCGTATAACTGATGGAGAAATGACGTCGGGGCAGCGTTCCCCTACGCGATAATGCTCTCGGAGAAGCAGTGCGAGCAAAGGGAGAGGAACGGAGGGAGGGATCAACAGCCTTGGCAGTGTTTCAAGCAACACGAGAGCCCCTTTACGCCCGATATTTTTCTTTCGCTTTGGAAAGAAATGCTTCTTTTTGTAGATATCGTAACAACGGTGAAGTTTTTAGTGTTCGAAAGAACTGCAGTATGTTAAAAATTTCAACATACCGTAGCATTACGCAGCTTTACAAGCCAGAGAAATTCGCGAGATGAAAATGAATTCTGAGAATTCACAGAATGCCTACAATCATGAGATGAGAAATGGAATTTGCAAATTGAAGATTGTGGAAAAGATACTGAAAATCACGAGGATTTACAACATTCTCAAACAAAACTCTACATGAATTAATCAAGCCTGGAGTCCAATATATTATAAAACATGGTACAAAATATTATTGTACTAGACTGTTAAAACTGTCTTCTCCAAAATATGTTATGTATTAGAAGAATGGAAGTGGTACTGGCTACGATAAACAGTCGGATTTTGCTTTGAGTTATGTAATAATCTGTTATATTTTTTAATTTTTCATATTTTTATTGAATAATGAACATTTAAATATTAAATACGATTTAAAAGCGTAATAATCGAGCGTACGTCCCCCCCCCACGTCCGTACCATTATTACGTATGCTCACCGCCGCGTCGGGCTTCCCGGCTCCGCTCGGAGAAGCGGAGCAGATTTTTGTGACGTCACAGAGCACTGAGTTGGCAAGCACTTGTGTAAGGGGATAGTGTCTAAAAGAACGACTGTAATGATAGTGGTTCAATCAAAAAGGGAACAGCTTTAATCCTGAGCGGAGGAATGGGTCAGAGACGACTCGTGGGACTCGAAGGGAGGGGCCCATAGAACTGGAATCGGATGAGGCAACAGACACGATACTTGACAGATAGGTCGTTGATCCCGTCGTTCACTGCGTGGTCTGTTTTCCTTTTCGGGAGCGCCTTGGCAAGCGGCTGACGAATAAGAAAACTAATACGATGCCCGCGCGTTTGCAGACGTGACATTCTGCCACACATTAATTTCACCGAGACAAAACATTGTAAATTCACAATTACCAGGCCATAAATCATTTGGTGTTAAAAAAAACGCCCCAATTCAAGCGAAGCGAGTGAAAGTGGGATTACGTCCCACCGACTGACTGCTTTTAACCAGTGTGCGGTGACCACAGAAAAGATGGGAAGCGCAAGGTATGTGTATGTGTGTGTTTCTTCTGGAAATACATAGTATAACTAGAGGTAAAACAACAGCCTATATTTTCTCTCCTCAATATCGTTTACGTAATATTGTATACTATAATACTGCAATTTATGTCCATTTTAACACATCTACGCCATTACTTGATAATCTCATTGCAACTCGTAGAACATTAGGTGCGAACATTAATTATATTAAAGCTTATATTATCAACACAAATTCGACAATTAAACACCTTCCAACAATGAGAAAAAATATCAGAAATTCAACATGCAGTGTCGCGGCGCGGCATTACAATGTATATTGCAATCAGATATCTTGTGAAAGATACCAGCAAATGAAGCGTGGAAAATTCAAACTCTGGAAATTCGTTAGATTTGCAAAAATGACGCTAAAATAATAATTTTTTAAAATGATCATGACCTTTTTTGAAGAACTAATATAACTAATCCATTTTCTGGTACAAAATTGCCTGAATTCCCTCTCCACGTTTACCAGTCTTAAGAACCTTATTAAGAACTACTACACCTTAACCCTGCCGTGTGTGAGAAGTGTTGCAGCCGAAAAGAACACTAAACACTGATTTTACGGCCTATTTTCGAAATCATATGGTTGAGGTGATTCCAATACTTTAAACCCAAAATTTCAGCGGTTCAATTTCAATTGTAAACAATCTAGTGTAAAATGGTGCTCATGTGACATCCAATTGCTTATCAAACCAATATTTTTAAATTAATCATATGTGAGGATAAAGTGAGTTGTACAAATATATACTTGTACGAATGAGCAAGACTAGAGTCTTGTATACTCTAACACTCTCTCAGGAAGATCATAAATGGAATATTGAATAGTCACGGATTAAGTCGTCAGAGAAAAAATGAAATGTTAGGGGATTCTGATTTAGATTGCTGTGATAATATAAAAATCCGCAGTCAGATTAAGAGAGTTTAGAATTTCAGGCTAATTTTGATTGTATTTCTAGTGATTGCCATTGTAATTAGTTACATTAAAGAAACATAACTAGTTCTGCGTTCCGGCTACATTTACCATTCATGGTTTACTTGTAAAACGACAGCCAAGACGGCCTGCGAAGAAATAATACAAACAAAATTTATACAATCGATATTTTTAATTTTTACTCTAGCTCTGCAGGAGAAAGTAGGAGGTCGGGAACCAATTTAAAGATCACCCCGCTCCCAAACTTTCACGAAAGGGACTTCGAACACAAGCGATAAATTCCCTAAATGTGGTATTGAGAAAATCGAGTTCAAAGTTAAATTGCTAAAGAAGGCATTTTCTTTCCATCGTTAGAACGCGGCAGCTGTTTGAACTATTAAAATACAACTTGTTCTCGAAATAAAATGGACACACGTACTCCTAAATCAAAATTTGCCAAAAATGCACTACACCCATCTTTCTCTATACCCCGCAAATGAACCCTCAGCTTCCTTTGTAGGTGCTCTGGCAACTTAACCATTAATTCCAAATGTTACGATCAGCGATAGTGAGTTCGCTTGTTTCGTAAACGGAAAAAAACAAACGAATTACTATTAGCTACAAGTTCATAAGGATATGAAGATACTTCCTCAACCTAGTTAGTCCTTGACAGTGGTCTGAAACTTGTGGTTTGTCCATATAATTTGTTTTTGAAATATCTCATCCTTATCCACTTGCGATCTTGAATTCGTTGGAAGAGACTTCAAGTCTTACTCATAACAGATAAAGGAGCTTTTAGAAGTTCATTTTCACTTACTTGAAGGCACAAAGATATGTCGAAACCTAAAAAAGTTTGTATAATAGGATCTGGAAATTGGCAAGTACACATTCAGTTCTAAGTTCTATTCCATTTTGTACAAATAGATCGTAGCATTTAAAGAAGTACAACTTCGAAGTGTTGGCAATGTCGTATGTGTAATTATCATTAAGAACCAATAAGTGATATAATTAAACAATACATTAATATAATGGCGTAATTTAGTAAATACAACAAGTATCGCAGCTTCTGGATCAATGACCCCATCTCATTCAGGTTTTCGACCAGTTTCCCTGATTCTTTGAGCGAATGCTGAAATGACCCTTTGATTTGTTTTTGGACGTAAATGTAACTTCACTATTTAATCAAGTATTCTACGTTCAATTGAAAATATACTTATTCAAATTATCGTTCTCAATGTTTTCGCTTCAGGAAGTCGATTCTTTCCCGAAGGGCACGATGAGGGATAAGAGCCCAAATCTATAGCTTATTTGCCCTTGCAAATAGGTTTTATTCACCGAAGCGAACATTTGATCAATTCTTGCCAAAAACGCTAATAAACTTCTGTATTCAGAATGCAACTTGAGAAGGGATTTGAGACTTAGAGTAGGGATATGAGAATTAGAAAACGTGCACAGAATACACGTCTCTCTGTAGCACGTCAAATAGAGTTTTAAAATGTTTTTGATGCAGCAATAAGTTCAGTAAATTAAGTAAATTAAATAAATTAAATAAATTCAATTAACCAAATCAATCAAATTAATTAAATAAATTACTTTAAATATGTTAAATGAATTAAATAAATAATAAAAATTACAAAAAGTCTTGGCCTCATATCACACTCTAACCATTTAAATTTGTACGTGTGAATTTCGTGACTTCAGACATTAAAAAAAATGGGACTAATTGAGTGATCTATTTAATTTGACCTATTTTAGAATACCTAGTTTACTTTATTGCGATATAATAATTAAATCATCATATTAATTATTCTTATTGAAGGTGATTATATTTATTTGACTAATTTTATATTTTTGCCCTATGAGATTATGCAGCACTTTCTATAGACATCTACGTAAGAATTCATATGTGTTAGACATAACTAGATGAATACGAAAAGTTTTAGCCGGTAGCACTATAAAATAAATAAGATAATAAACAACCTTCGTAATTAAATATTTTTTTTTGTTTTCATAGGGGCAGTGCTATTGCAATACAAGTTTGCAAAAATGCGACACGCCATCCCCATTTGCACCAAACAGTGACTATGTATGTTTACGAGGAAATTATACAAGGGAAAAAGTTAACCGATATAATAAACGAAGAGCACATTAACCCCAAATATTTACCGGGTTTCGAACTACCAGATAATCTTGTAAGTAAACGTTTAAAGATTTTTTGTTTCGAAAAAAACATACACCTAGGATTTAAATTTTCATAACATCTCATTATGGTGAAGATCATTTATTTACAACACAAAGCTCATTAGTATTTCGAATTAATGCTTGCCGATTTGATTACAGTCCTCTGGATAAGTTGAATTGTAATCTACATTACTATATACAGTCTTACTAAATAATTACCGCATGTTAATAATACAAATTCTGTTATTAGAATCAGTTAGTAATAAAGTTACTAGTGAACTGAAGTTACCCGGTCTTAGCCGAGTACTTTTTCGTCATCTCTTAGGTAGGAAAACGAAATAAATTCTAAGAGTATCAAGTGTGTAAAATGCAAATAATTTCATTCACATTCCCGTCAAACCCCTCCCCCGTCTCCCTCCATTCAATTAGATCGGTAAAGGTGGCTTAAGGTACGAATTGATGTCACTGCAAGGCCTCTGATCGGAAGGTCTTGGGGATCGAATTCCGACGGTGGCAGGATTTTGACTCTTGCTATATACCTAGTTCAAATTCAGTCGCTGTCTGGAGAAGAATTCTAGCGGCCGGCTGCTCTGATCGGTAGTTTTCTGTGGTTTCTCCGATCAACACCTGGCGAGTGCCCGAGCAGTACCCTAACAATGGGGCCTCGAACCGCGCGCGATCTTTCCCTCCTCTTGCTTGTCCTACCCTCATCCCCTTTCTTACTCTTACACTCTCAAGCTCTACACTACCACACGTGTCGGGAGCTTAGAACTTGTCCCGGCTGGGGCGGTGCCACGCTGGCGGGAGGTACCCTGTTGAGTGTATGTGCAATCCTCTCAAATCCACGTAGGTTCCCATCCAGCGGGAGAAAATAACAGGCAACTCCCGCGATAAAACACTCACTACTCTTACGGGAATAATGACCTTAGCAGTTGACTCTTCCGGAATCACTAATCAATCAATCAATCAACCACTCATTCCTCCCGTCACCCTCGCCCATCCCGCTCATCTCTTTCGCCCTACCGTGCCCCATCCCTTGCGTTGAGGGTAGCATTAAACGAAAAATGGGGTTTTTCATCCATTCAGAGAATGGAGAATGACTTTTGAACAGAGAATGACCTTTGCAAAACATATATTCCACGCTTTAACGCTTGCGGCTTCGGTACTTTTGTCGCTGCGTTGACACGTCAGTAAGTTTAACTTTTTCTTAAGTTTTAGATGCTACTTATATCACCTAATACGTATGTGAACCACTATTGTTGATGTAGGGACGGACTTATTATTGTTATTATTGTTATTATTATCTGAATAATAGATATAGCAAGAAAATAATTCTTATTCATTTTTTCATGGTAGAATTCGTAAGACGTCTTATGCAATAAAGTATGGAAATAATTTATAACATAACATGTAATCTTGGTGATCAAGGAGATACTTCTTTTAACAAAAAAAATCCTTACAGTAGTTGACTGATATAATCTCTTACAATGTCAATAAATATACATAAAAAATAGAAGAAATAAATTATAATATACGAGTATAATAGGTTACGCTATTTGAGATTTTAAATAGAATTGCCTTCTTCAACTTTTCAGTATGCTATTCCAGACGTCATCCTAGCTGCTAAAGATTCAGATGCAATTATTTTTGTTGTTCCCCATCAGTTTGTTCGGAAAATTTGTATGACGTTGGTGGGCAAGATAAAACCCACAGCATTAGCCTGTACTCTCTCTAAAGTAAGTGATAATTTCTTGTAAATGATGCATTATTTAATTTTGTGATTTAATTAAGTATGAAAATGTGTCTTTTGAAAATAATAGTTTGGGTCCAACATTTTTTTGTCTTTTGATTTAATCAAAGTCGGAATCTGAAGAGTGCTGTAGGATGTTAATTCAATATCTGAGATATCTGAATAATAGAAACTTAGTGGTGTGCAACACCAAACGTTTTGTTGAACTAATTATATTTATACCAAAAAAGTATCATTCATCTGGCTCACGAGCAACCAATAGATTCTCTTGACTAACACTGCAATAAATTAAATAGATTAACAAACACAGTCTTCATGAATGCTGCAGTAACGTGTGTTTATACAGTACATCATAATCTCACATTCCAAAGATTCAAAAATATTGCTGTTCCATAACAAGTAAAGAGCAAATATTAATTACAGGCGAAGTCGGACCCATTTCGTCGCATGGCATCAACTGTGTTATAAGCAGTAATGAAGAGAGTGAGAACTCACTCAGTATGCGTAGTATAAGAACAGTATACAATCAATTTCTTTTAATTTTTCAGTTTCTCTTGAAACGGTTTAATTGGTTTGGGATATTTACCGTGTCCATGGGAATCTAAGAAAACCATAGACACTCATTACTTGTCTGCATGTATCATAGTTTTCTTTCAATTTCTGAGTGCATTCAAAACCAGTAATATATGAGTTTTTGTATTTTTCCTGAGCTCCTGTGCACCTAACAATATCATACACACTCGTCACATGGCTGGAAGTTACGTAGTTTACTTTCAATTTATGTGGTCATTGGAAATTAGTAATACAAATATTTATGAATTTTCCACGACTTCCTAAGTATCTAACAAGACTGTACGATACCATATGACTCTCCTCACATGGTCGGTGTGCGTGCGTGTTTGCGGGCGCGAACAGTTTTCCTTCAATTCCGGCATGCATTGGAAAAATTAATACAGATCAGCGGGAGCTTTATACACAAATAATGCAGTATGTGGACTTGGATATTCATTGTCTTTTTAGTAACATGCCAAATACAGAATAGTTTTAACTGTGGTGCTCCGATATTTTCACATCAAATCGGAACATCACCGAATGCAACAGGAAAAGCACGAAGAAATCGCTAATTTGCTTGCTGCAATCACTAGGATGCAACCAAGTGTTCGTAGGCGTGTGAACCATTCCTGCGAGAGCATTAGCATGTGTCTTTTTGTAAACGTAATCTATGAAGAGAACGCATATTATGTTATTGCGTTGTGTTAAGAGTTGCGTTTGGAATGAATAATTCAAGACAATTCCTATTTAGTTTCAATTTCCTCACACACACACACATATATATAATATTATATTTTAAAGTACAAAAATTTGTGTAACAGTCTTATGCACTATGGTATAGTAAGGATACATTATGAACGTGCACTGAAATGAAAATAATATTGTGAGTGCACTTGTAATTTTGTAATAATTTCTTCAGGGATTTGAAGAAGCTGATGATGGAGGAATTGAATTAATTTCTCACGTCATTCAGAAATATCTGCGCGTGAATGTTAGCGTGCTTATGGGAGCTAATCTGGCTTTCGAAGTTGCTAAAGGAGAATTTACAGAAGGCACTCTCGGTTAGTATTCTCTAGAATTAATGTAAGAAATCTGGCAAAAATTATCGGGTTTCCCCGTTCAGTGAAACCATAATACAAACTAGTGGTGCTACAAAATCATACACTTTTTTCGTATTATTTCTAAGCTCTCAGCTATATTATATAATACATAAACATGCGAAAGTGTTTTCAACCAGCAAAATTTATATTCCGCTCCCAGGTCCTCCGTTAACTCGCCGTCAGCTGTTAGAAGATGCCCCAAAGAAACTACACTTTTGCAATTTTCAAAAGATCTGTAATTTTAATGAACACGAGTCTTATACAATTCTTAAGCGCCCTTCACGCTATACGGTTTAATAAAAGAAATTGGAGCCATTTTTTAAAAATTAAAAGAAAAGAGGATTTGTGTAAAGTGCCCTCAAAAATAAAAATATACATTTGAAATCCCAAAGCCATTCGATCCTTCAAATGGATGGGGAATATCAATTTTGGAGAAAATCGCCTGAACCGTTTAGATGCTAGCGTTGACCACAAACGGATTGACAATCGTTTTGCTGTCAATCGCGTTTTCAGCTTCAAGGACTCATAAAACATGCATCTGGGTAAACTATGTGTTAGAGGAAGAAATTTATTCTCTAGGAAACAGGACTTATCCTCTGTTTCGTTATCAGGGACCGGCAATGTTTTTTTCTGCCAAAAATTTGCCGTTTCCCGACGCACGATTACATAACTTTCTCTTCTTACGAAGTAAGTGCGAGAAAGTAAAAGTCAGAGAACCATTGACTAGACTAACTATATGCAAACACACTTCGTTGTCTCATTTATTCCAACATTTCATTTACGTTATCATTCAATTTTCGTTCCAGGGTGCTCAAACAAACAGGCTGCACCATTATGGACTGACATTTTTCAAACCGACGATTTTAAGATTACTGTAACTGAAGACGTAATCGCTGCAGAAGTGTACAGTGGACTAAAGGTAATAATTCGTAAGTAATGCATTTTTGAAGATGCTTATATGCGATATCAACGATCACGCTGTGGCAAATTTCTTTGGAAACTCCATTGCTCTCTCTTCGTGTTAATATTAATCCATGGTGTACTATAAACTGTTATATAATATATGAAATTAGATTATTATAAATGTGTTCAGTAAAAATATATTTTTGCGACATGACGCAGAACATAGTGGCGGTGGGGGCTGGCCTTATTGATGGCTTAGAATACGGTGACAACACGAAAGCAGTGATGATGAGGCTGGGTATAATGGAAATGATTAAGTTCATCGATGTCTTCTACCCCGGAGCGAGATTGGCCACGTTTTTCGAGAGCTGCGGCATTGCAGATTTGATCACAACGTGTTATGGAGGCAGAAATCGACGCATGGGAGAACTTTTCGCTAAAACTGGGAAGGTAAATTGAATTCGTCGCATTGGCGATTGAACCGCTTGTTTGAGAAGAGGAACCACTCTTTTTTTTTTACTTCCTCGCACTTCTCTAGAAGAGTAATAGTAATCGTAATTGTAATCGTGCGCCGGAAACAGCGAATTTCCATGCGATAAACACTTATTGTCGGGTCCTGGTAACGAAAAAGTGGATAAATCACGTTCCTATATAATTACTTAATCTATTACTTTCCTATATAATTACTTATATAATTACAATTACTATAAATATAATTACAATTACTATAAATATAATTACTTCCTCAAACACGCGGTGTAGCCACAATCCATGTTTTGTGGGTCGTTGTAATCGTAAAATAGATTGACGTCACAGCGTCTGTCTATCTATCCACCTTTGTTTAAAGCTAGTGCACAAACAATTCAGCCGATTTTCTCCAAAATTAATATTCCTCGATCTCGGGGCTTCGGAAGTTTCAAACGGATATTTAGATTTTTTAGGTTACTTTACATTTTCAAAACTGAATTCTAATTTTTTTATTAAAATTTATTATCGGATAGCGTAAAGGATATTCTCGGATAGGTTAAGAGAATGGTGCAAGTCTCATGTTCATTAAAATCTCATTTTTCTCGAAAATTGCAAAAGAGCAATTTTTGAGGGCGTCTTGATACAATTAAAAAAAAAGATAGAGATTTTTTCTTTAATGAAATTTATTCCGTGAACTGAAAATAAGTCCCTGAACTTGAAATAAGATAATGTTCAATTTTCGAAAATTGCAAAATTTTAACATTCCAAACCCACAAAAGTGAAGACGAGTTTTTTAAACAAAGTCTGTTGTTAAAATCAACTCTTTAAAAATGTCATGAACAATGTTTTGAAAAAAAGAGTATATTTTACGTAATTTGTGACTGAAGTTTATGCAATTTCTGAAATAAATATTTTCTGAAAATACACTCCAAATTTTTTCATTAAATTTTCTGCTCGTATGTGACGACGGATGGTAAAAATTATGGTGTCAGTACCATTTTCGGCGAACACTCTGTATTTTCGAGAATTGCAAAACTATTAGGTTGAGACAATAACATTTTGAAGTGACGACCTAGTTCAAACCTAATGACGTTTCTATAGCGTTGAGGTGTGGCTGACGGCGAGTCAACTAGGAGGATCTGAGTCTCATTGCCGAGAATACTTTTTGCTGGTTGAAAACACTTTTTCATGTTTATATAGTAGTAAAATACAGCGAAGCATTTCGAAAAATGCTTCAAAGTATGTGCTGTTGTAGCACCTCTAGTTTTCAATCTATTTGTACAAAGAAAATAAAGAATAGTGAAATTAGATGTCTCGTTTTAAAGTTTGTTGATTTGGCTTTATTACACTATACCTAATCACATGATATTTGTCTGAATTTCTCGAAAGGTCAGGGAAGAGCAAAAATCAAAGTGTCAGCATTTTGACACTAAAAGAAATATGGATTTAATTTTGAATTTATAAATATAAATCAATGAAATTGATCTGGTAGATAATATATGGACTGAAATAAAATTATATTTTTATAAGATTTTTTTAAAAATGTACTCGTGATAATTTCACTTCATCTGTATTGCATGCACTTAAAAACGATGTAATATCTACAGAAGATTTTTTGACTGTTACATAATTCTAGAAAGCCTTTGCTCTATTGTAACATCACTTATTTTCAGGACATGGAAACACTGGAGATGGAGCACTTGGATGGCCAACAGCTGCAAGGTCCGGCAACTGCTGCCAAAGTTAATAAAATGCTGAAAAATAGAAGTATGGAATTTCGGTAAAGACTTATTTCTATTTCTTGCGAAAACTAAATAATCGAATTGTCCTTTCCAAACATACTTCTAAGTTTTTAATCAGTTGCAAAAAATATTAACAAAAGTTTCTTACGCTGTCTTCTTTCATATGGATTGCGCATAAAGCTATCAGTAGACACATAATGAGGTCTTACATAACAGATAATTGAATAAGGTAAACAAAAGTGAAATACTTTTTTCATCGGCTTCTAACATTCTAAAGACGTGTTTACTCGAACGTCACTCTAGACCAAGACATATACAGTCTCCTATTAAAAGAGACGAATATCTTGGTGAGATCAATTTAAGATCAATTATTGTCCAAATGAACATTCTCGTCTGTTCCTCGTAAACATGCCGAAGATTCAAAACCCCGTAAATATGTTACTCGCGTGATACAAAATATCTTCGGGGGACGCAAAGAAATTAAAACCAAATATAAGGATTTTGTAAATAATGGTATGAAGAAATTAACAGATCATATGTAACCCACAAAACGGGTTACGCTGCATCACATATTACCATCGTGCTTCACTCGTATACCTCGCGTCCTAGATACTTAAAATCCTTTTTTGGGGCTTCGGAGAGAACCACGAGTTATATTTCTTGGGTCGCTATCTGTAAAATGACACCTTTTTGAACATACTATTATATTTTGGTGGTTTAGCTTTCCCGGCTCTCCATATTTTATAGCGTGGGTGAGTATAAACGTACGGAATTTGGATATCTGTGTGAAATAAGATTTTGATGATCTGTTCAATTTAATCTCTCGGGTCTAAACATTTCTATTTCTTAATAAACGTTTATACATCTCAGAATGTTTACTCTTGCTCTAGCTCTGAGCCTAGCCATTCGAAGCTAAAGCAATGCCACAGTGACGATGACGAAGTGCGAAATGTTCGCACGAGATTTGTTTAGCAAGTACATTTATTTAAATATGGGAAATTAAAAGTGTTGTCTGATATCAAAAGTTTATTTTGCTTGTTTTGCTTTAAAAAATGTTTTCAGCCTGTAATTTTGTAACTATGTAACCTGAAACTTTAACTTTGGCAACGGCCGGTAACTTTTGTAACTTTGTTTTTTGCCCGGAAGCTGCAAGCTCTAAGGATGATCGCTACGCGATCGAAACGATCATAAGCAAAATACATTTTTGCTACCAGATAATACGTTTAATTTGCCGTATTTAATTATTAGAAGGTATCTGCCTCACCAGCGATCTAAGTAATACATTTATTTATTTAGCTTTTTCTTGAAAAGAGTATTACATTATTGAAATAGAATAAAAATATCATCTTATAAAATAAATAAATAAGACTGATATTTAGGTGCGTACTTTTTGTTCCCTTTAGCTTCCCTATAATGACTGCGATTCACCTCATTATGAAAGGTGAAATGAAAGCTGAGCAATTGGTAGGAGCCATGAAAGTCCATCCTGAAGCCACGTAAGTCTTCATGACTTTTCTAATGATAAATAATTATTTAGATACAAATATTATATTAAATATCTTATTGTGTATGTTAAAATTACTTATACAAGGGGCGTTCGGAAAGTAGTACCCGTTTTGGAATAAGACAAAAACTTGTACATTGGAACAAATATTAATGATTTATTTGTAAAGAACTTCCTTTAAACTTCTTCTCCACATCGTCACCTCGCAAATTTAAGCATTTGTCATAACGTGTGTCGAGTTTTTGTATCGCAGCTTAGTACTCCTCCGCCAGTGTATTGAGATACGCAGTCACAGCTGCTTTCAGTTCTTCATCACTTTCAAATTTCTTTCGTGCCACAAAGTCCTTGAGCTTTGTAAACTGATGAAAATCTGAAGGTGCCAAGTCTGGGCTGTAGGGTGGATGGTTTGAATTTTTAAATTGTTGCACAAGTTCTGTTATCCGAGCCGTATGGGGCCGGGGGTGGTTTCGTGTTCGTCAGTAAGCATGCGAGGGACCCACCTTGCACAAATATTTTCATAATGAAGGTGGTCCTTAACACTTTCATGAATAACTGTTCGTGAAATATTGTGAAAATTTTCACTGAACTCATCAATTGTCGCACACCGATCGGTCCTCGCGAATTCGTTAATTGAACTCTGCAGTTCGTCCGTAATGACTGATGGCCGTCCGGAACTCTCGTCATCATGGGAGTTCTCTCTGCCCGAGCTGAAATTACGACACCAACGCCGATCAGATAACTCATCCTTTTTGATTGTAAACATCTATTTTTCTTGAAATCTCACAACGACGACTTGGGACAAACGGAAGAATTTTCAATAGGTTTGTGAAATAATACCCTCAAAAATCAAAAGTGTGTTATTTCACTAAAACTTTCACTTAAACATGTTTGACGCAAAACGCATTTGATTGAGTAAAACTTGAAAACTGCTTCCTAGGAACTTAAGGCGTCAGTTGCCGAGGTCCTGTTAGGAGGTCTTGAGTGACGTGCTTCAGTTATTTCCGGACCTCCCTCGTACACCTTTGGGATGCTAGCTCTTTTGCGATACCTCAATACACAGCACGGGTGGATGGATGGGATCTCTAATTCTTCGTATCATCTAAGCATTGCCGCTGTATGTAAGGATTCTGATCTCGAGGTCCTAGGGTTCGAGTCCCGACGGTAGCGAATTTTCGACATAACTCAGTCGAATTCACTCGGTGTTTGGACGATAATCGTAGCGGCCTGCTGTTTTGATCGTTAGTTTTCCGTGGTTTCTCCAATCAATAACAGGCGAATTCAGAAGCAGTACTCTAACAAACGGGCCACGGGCCACCCGCCATATTTCACTTCTCTTCTTTGAACTTCCTCTCCCCTTCAACACACATTTACATGCACCTCACATATCGAGAGATGGGTCTGGAGCTTAAAGCTTGTCTGGACTGTGGCAGAGTGTGTCCTGCTGGGGAGGTAGCTGGAAGAGAAATTTTCCACCAAGTAGATCGGCGTTGAATCTCACCTTCCAGATTGGAAGGACCACCGCCACCTCCCGAGATAAAACAGTCACTATATCAACAGCATTAATGACTATAGAAGTTGACGTGCCTGGAATCATTTATCAATGAAAATCAGTTTATACCGGAGGTTCTCAAACTTTATTCATCGATCTGTTTTAAAGAATGGTTGGTTCAATCGATACCCTTACGTTTTAATGACTCGTTAATGACTTAATGTTAATTTTACAAAGTATAGATTACATTGACCCCTTGATATTCTGTGCGATTTATTTGCGTGGTGAACAGACTTCCTGCTCGTCACTAATCTCTTAGCAATATTAGAATTTTCACACACAGCACCGAGCCTATGTGATATACCTACCGCTTGAAGTTGGCTTCATTGTGGCTATTTTTGTCTATTTGAAAAAAAGGTTAACAAATTACGCAATGTTTCGACGGGTAGACTGGTATTCTGATATTAAAGAACCATTTTCAGTGACAATAGCTTCAATTGAATGAAATAACTTGATCGAATGAATTTTTAAAATAAACTTTTAAATTAACATTGATATGTGACTTTTTATTCCGACTGAATATTTGTGAATTAGAATGTTCACTTTCTATAACACCTGCAATTATGAACACGAAGTTGACAGTATTTTCTCATCTGCCTCATTGCTACAAGAAGCAAGTTTGTGTTTCAATTGCAGGAAAGTAACGTAAAACAAGGCACATCTCCATAGATACTTTGATATGATTGTCACATTATTTCGTTTAAACTGGTATGAAAAATTATCAGGTTATTAGTGATAAAATTCAATCTCTAGGTTCATTTCAAACATAATTCAACACATTTTTTGTGTATCACTATATGTAGTAAAATTAACATTTTCATTCTTAATTTTTCAGGTTGGTTCTACACTATACTTCATTTTGATGTAAATCATCATCAAGAATGTTATTATTGTAAATTATGTTTCAATTGAACTTTGTTTCAATTGTGCAATTAAATAAATAACTCTTGAATTGTTTCCACATGATTTTGGTGTTGCGGGTAATCATGGTATTTTCTAATATCTCAGAGTGTTAAGTTTTGTAGATTACCATTTCCTTCACTATGGGGTTATCCATAGTTAACAAATAATTAAGAGTTTATACTCTATACGATACTATTCGATGAATGTTTGTGATAAATTTGTTTATGTATCTGTTCAATTTTCTGCTGGATATGTGAGAAAATGGACCCTATGCATGCTCATCAGTTCCTTGTTTTTTTATACCTTCTCAGGGTTTTCCAGTTTCCAGCACGTTCTCAACATGTTTCTCCGCATGTTACCAGTATCTTTCCCATTGTTGCGAATCTGCCGAACTGTGTTCCCGCAACAGCGTATGCATCTGTGAATGCCGCGATTGTTTGAACGTCAATAATTTCAGCTGCAGCTGCATTGCCAATCGTCGCTGTCTGCTAGCCTCTCTCTTGGGGTTATTTAAATAAGAACACTAAGTTCAAACATAAGTAAATACATTATTTGTGAATTCTTGTAAATTATTTGCGGATATCTTGTTCCATTCTATAGAACCACCGATTGATTGTCTGAAGTACTTTCCCCAAGGCGGCGGCGATGGTGAAAAGGGTATCGTATCGGGCTGTAGAGGGCTCAAACCCTTTCGAAGCCATGGATTTTTAAGGACGAAAACATTTTTCGTACGCCTTCGGAGGAGAATCAAAGCTGGCTGTCCCATGTTACTAGATTTACTCCATGTAAAAGATCCTCAACCCTAAATGAAGCCTCTGAGCGAAATTCAAAACGCCTGTTTCGTCGCCCAACAATCACCTCCTATCTCCACTAGTTGGTGAAAGCGTAGCGAAATTTGCGTGGTCAGATAGAATAGCAGGCCTCAGGGCCTGAGCCTAATAAGGCATCAATGCAATTCAAGGTTTCACTAAACTTCCAATATCCTGAAGTCGCTATTAATTGGGTATTCAAACCAGATTTTTATGTTAATATTTCCGACCT